TTCATTTCTACTCTGACTAGCACGTGGCACTGGTAGCAATCCTGAGATTGCTACCTCTGAGGTCCTACTTTTTAACTTGGCTCCTAACTCCCTAAATTCTGCTTGTAGGACCTCATCCCATTTTTTACCTATATCATTGGTGGCTATATGCACCACGACAGCTGGCTGTTCACCCTCCCCCTTCAGAACGTCCTGCAGTCGATCTGAGACATCCCTGACCCGTGCACCTGGGAGGCAACATACCATTTGGGAGTATTGTTTTCGACCACAGAACCGGCTATCTACTCCCCTTACAATCGAATCCCCAATGACTATAGCCCTTCCACTCTTTTTCCCACCCTTCTGTACAGCAGAGCCAGCCACGGTGCCATGAACCTGGCTACTGCTGCCTTCCCCTGGTGAGCTATCTCCCCCAGTAGTATCCAAAACGGTATACCTGTTTTGGAGGGAGATGACCGCAGGGGACACCTGCACTGCCTTGCTGCTTTTTTTCTGCCTTTTGGTCACCCATTCCCTTTCTCCCTCAGCAATCCTAATCTGCGGTGTGACCAATTTGCTGAACGTGCTATCCACGACTTCCTCAGCATCGCGGATGCTCCGAAGTGAGTCCATCCGCAGCTCCAGAGCCGTCATGCGGTCTAACAAGAGCTGCAGCTGGACACACTTCCTGTATGTGTAGGAGTCAGGGACATCAGCCGCGTCCCTGAGCTCCCACATTGAGCAAGAGGAGCATAACATGGGTCTGGGATCTCCTGCCATTTTTACTCTTAAGCTTAACTTAGTCCTAATATAATATCAAATACAAGATAAATGAAATGAAAAAATTTTTACTAAATCACTCTACTTACCAGCACACAATAAAAAAAAAAAAGAAAAGCCTTACCTTATCAACACACCACAGAGTCTGTTTTTTTGGTCAGAGGAGGAGGGTGGGTGGGAGACACTACACGTGTAGTGTCTCGGGTTTAGCCACTGCCCAAATATATCAGTTCACTCACCTTCCCAGAGTGCAATTCGATCGCTCCCACTCAGCTCCGCTGCCGAAATGAAGAACTTACCTTCGCGGCAGCCCCCGGTCCACAATCTCACCGCTCCCGCCGCTGCTGCTGCAAAAAATGGAGGCAGTATTCCAGAAGAGGCCTCACCAATGTCCTGTACAATCTCAATATAAAGTCCAAACTCCTATATGCAAAGAACTGAACAATAAAGGCAAGCATGCCAAACACCTTTCTGACCATCCTATCTGTATGTGATGCAAACTTTAAAGAATTATGTATCTGCACCCCTAGGTCTCTTTGTTCTATAACACTACCCAAGGCCCTACCATTCATTGTATAAGCCCTACCCTTGTTTGTTGCACCAAAATGCAAAACCTTGCATTTGTCCAGATTGAACTCCATCTGTCATTTTTCAGCCCATTGACCCATTTGATCAAGATCCCTTTGTAATCTTAGAAAGCCTTCTTCATTGTCTACAATGCCACCAATTTTGGTGTCATCCACAAACTTATTAACCATGCCTTTGATATTCTCATCCAAATCATTTGTATAAATGACAAACATAAGAGGACCCAGAACCGATCCCTGTGGAACACTGTTGGTCACAGGCCTCCAGTCCAAAAAGGAACACTCCATCATTTTCTGAAGAAGGATCCCGACCCAAAACGTCAGCTTTCCTGTTCCTCTGATGCTGCCTGGCTTTCTGTGTTCCCCCAGCTCCACACTGTGTTATCTCTGACTCCAACATCTGCTGTGCTTGCTATCCCTCCACCATTACTCGCTGTTTTCTGCCGTTAAGCCAATTATGTGTCCAATTGGCAAGCACACCCTGAATCCTATGAGACCTAAATTTATTAATTAGTCTACCATTTCGAACCTTGTCAAAGGCTTTACTAAAATCTAAATAAGCAATGTCCACTGCTCTGCTGTCATCAACCTTTTTGGTAACTACCTGAAAGTACTCAATCAAGTTTGTGAGACACGATTTTCCTCACCCAAAACCATGCTGACTATCCCCAATCAATTTTTGCCTCTCTAAATGTCCATAAATCCTATCTTTTATAATCACCTCCAACAATTTACCCACAACCAAAGTCAGACTCACGGGTCTATAGTTCCCTTGTTTCTCCTTACAATCTTTCTTTTACAAAGGTACAACATTAATCACCCTCCAATCGTCAGGCACCTCACTCATGGTTAAAGATGATGCACATATATCTGCATCTCTGCAGGAGTTCCTCAGGGTAGTGTTCTAGGTCCAACTACCTTCATCTGCTTCATCAATGACCTCCCCTCCATCATAAGTTCAGAAGTGGGGATGTTTGCCGATGTTCAGTACCATTTGCGACTCCTCAGATACTGAAGCAGTTCAAATGCAACAAGGTCTGGACAATATCCAGGCTTGGGCTGATAAATGGAAAGTAACATTCATGCCACACAAATGTCAGGCTATGATCATCATGAAAAAAAAGACAATACAACCAATACCCCTTGGCATTCAATGGTGTAACCATCACTGAATCCCCCGCTATCAACATCCTGGGGGTTACCATTGACCAGAAACTCAAGTGGACTCACCACTTAAATACAGTGGCTACAAGAGCAGGCCAGAAGCTAGGAATACTGCAGCGAGTAACTTACCTCCTGACTCCTCCAAGCCTGTCCACTATCTACAAGGCACAAGACAGGAGTGTGATGGAATACTCCCCACTTGCCTGGATGGGTGCAGCCCCAACAACACCAAGAAGCTTGACATCCTCCAGGCCAAAGCAGCCCACTTGATTAGCACTACACCCACAAGCATTCACTCCCTCCACCACCGATGCTCAGTAGCAGCAATGTTACTACCTACAAAATGCACTGCAGAAATTTACCAAAGGTCCTCAGACAGCACCTTCCAAACCCATGACCACTTCCATCTAGGAGGATATAGGCATCAGACATAAGGGAACACCATCACCAGTAATCTTCCCTCCAAGTCACTCACCATCCTGACTTGGAAATATATCACCATTCCCTCACTGTCGCTGGGTCAAAATCCTAGAATTCCCTCCCTAAGGGTATTGTGGGTCAACCCACAGCAGGAGGACTGCAGAGGTTCAAGAAGGCAGCTCACCACCACCTTCTCAAGGGCAACTAGGGATGGGCAAGAAATGCTGGCCAGCCAGCGATGCCCACATTTAAAAAACATCATGGATTGAGGGGCCCATTCCTGTGCTGTACAGTTCTATGCTCTATGTTCAAATAATCTTACACCGAACCATGTATTATTGATCTTACTTCCATTTTTCATTAAAAGAAATATCAAGAGTAGGACAGCTGCTCACTTCCAAACAGGTCTGACTCAAAATATTATATGTTTGCTGTCTAAATTTTGACTGATTTACTGTGTTCTTCCAGCATTTGTTTTGTTTCCTGAGAACTGCCCTTCATTAGTTCTCCTATCAGTTTAGCTGGTAGCACACTAGCCTGAGTCTCAAAATTCCGGGTTCAAGTTCCACTCTGAGACAAAAATCAAGGTTAACAGAATCACTGGATTGTTATGATACATTCAGTCCATCATGTTTGCACCAGCTCTGAATGAGCATTGTGATTCTTCAGACTTTTCTCCATAACCCCATGTATTGTTTCTGTTCAAATAATTATCAAATACCATCTTAGAATCCCTACAGTTTGGAAACAGGCCCTTCAGCCCAACAAGTCCACACTGACCCTTGGAGCATCCCGCCCAGACCCATCCCCTAATCTACACATCCCTGAACCAATTTAGCATGGCCAATCCACCTAACCTGCACATCTTTGGATTGTGGGAGGAAACCAGAGCAAACCCACGCAGACATGGGAGAATGTGCAAACTCCACAAAGACAGTCGCCCGAGGGTGGAATTGAACCTGGGTCCCTTGCACTGTGAGGCTGCAGTGCTAACCACTGAGCCACCATGCCACCCCAAATGCCTTGGTTGAGTCTTCCTCCACCCACACTTCCAGGCAGTGTATTCCAGATGTTATCCTCTCAGTGTGAAAAAGTTGTTTTTGTTGTATTGCATTTGCTTCTTTTGTAAATTACTTCAAATCTGTGACTTCTTGTTCTCGAACTTTTTAACGAGTGGGAACACTTTCTCCCTGTTTGCTCTGTCCAGACTGTGCACAATTTTGGAAACCCTGTAAACCTTTTCTGCACTGTCTCCAATGCATTCACAATGAAGTGTGGTGCCCAGAACAGTACAAAATACACCAGGTGACGTCTGACAAGTGCCTTCTATGAGTTCATCATGGCCTCCTTCCTCCAGTACTCTATTCCTTTATTAATAAAGCATAGGGTATGGCATGCTTTATTAACTGCTCTCTTCATCTCTTCTGCCACCTTTAATGGGATATGCACACATACACCCAGGTCCCTCTTCCCCTGCACACCCCCCAGAGTAGTCCCCTTTTATTTTAAACTGCCTTTCTATGTTCTTTCCACAAAAATGTAGCATCTCACAACTACAGTCATAGAGTCATAGAGTTGTAAAGCACAGAAACAGACCATTCGGTCCAATTTGTCAATGCTGACCAGATATCCTGGTCTCATTTGCCAGCATTTGGCCCATATTCCTTCTCCGCATTGAGCTTCTTCTGCCTACCTATCTGCCCATTCCATCAATTTGTTCTTTTTAAGTTCTACATTGTCTTTCTCACAGTTCACAATGTTTCATCTTTTCAAATCATCTGCAAAATTTGAAATTGTCCCATGCACCCAAAAATCTGCTTTCTTGCATTTAAAACATGAAAAATAAGGGTCCTAATACAAACCACTGGGAAACTCCACGACAAACCTTCCTTCAGCTGAAAAACACCCACAAAAACTATTCCCCTGTTTCCTATAACATCACCATTTTAAATCCACATTGCTCCTGTCCCTTTTATTCCAAGGGTGCTGATTTTGATTACATTTTTTTGCATCTCTATATGTACACATTAAAAGCATTATTCCCATTGTCAGAAATCACAGGACACCAGGTTATAGTCCAACAGATTTATTTAAAAACACAGGCTTTTGGAGCGTAGTTCCTTCAGGTGAAGAGAGAAAGAAGCACACAGAACACAAAAGATCAAAGGGTCACACTGCTGATGAGGATGTATTAAACAAACTTAAGATGCTGTTAAATCTTTAATCCATATACTTCTGCCTCACAGATGCACAATAACGATTCCAGCCTCTGGTTGAGCTCCAAAACCTGAAGCCTAAGATTTTGCAGCCATTGATACTTTGTACATGTGTGATTATGTAGAACGTATGACGTGTCTGTAACTCTCCATGTGAAAGATGGACATTTCTGTTGTTAACCCGTCTTTTCATATCTTAAACTTACTTGTGGACAACCTACTATAAACTGGAGATTAGAACGTGGAAGATAGAATTACTTCAGCCAACAGTCTGAGTGTTACATTGTCAGTAGTCACATCATTCTGATGAGACAGTAAACCAGAACTCCATCTGCCTGCTCATATGGATGGAAAAGATCCCAAGGCACTATTTTGAATAAATCGCTGGAGAGTTATGTCTGATGTCTACTTATGCCTCACCATCACAAAAAATAGATGAACTAGTTATCATCACATTGTAGGAGTTTCCTGTGCAAATCAGCTGCAAAGTTTCCCACATTACAGTGGTCACACCTCTTCTAAAATGTGTAATGCACTTTGAGACATCAGGTGGTCACAAAAAACTCTTTCTTCACAACCAGAATAAACTACTTTCTCATGTATTGTTATTATAAGGAAAGTAGAGCAGAGCTTGAATCACTGTCAAATAGATGCCACTGTAGGAGTGATAGAAATCGAGAAAAGTATGTGACAGTGAGTGACTTACTGAGTGCAGGGGAGATCAAGACGACATTGTTTTTGTAGTGCCAGTGGGGGAAAAAAAATGTAATAAAATTATAATTAATTAGTGTATAATAAATTTCAGGGAATGTAACAGCACTGTCTATGAAGGCAGCAGGAGAATAGACTGGAGCTAAAAATGGCTTTTATTTTGTTTCTTCTTCCATGCTTTCTTTCTCTTTTCAGTCAAGTATTCTGTGGATATTTTTTCAACAGCTCTCCTGCTCTGAAGCAATATTTTGAAATATTTATAGCTACAAATCCCCCTAACAAGGCTTGCTAGAAAGTAATGTGTCTGCACTTGGAAGGTAATCCAGCATTGGAAAGTATTTCGGGATGGTCCAACGATGGGATTACTATTAGTTTTATTGCTTGAATTTTATTGGTTGAAAGATTTTGGAGGTACACAATAAATTTCAAACAAAACCAAGACACTTCTATAATTGAAAATTGAAACTTTTAATTAAACAATAATTTTAAAATGACTTGAAGGTTGGTCTTGTCCTTGTGTAACAATTTCATAGAAATGTACAAGATTTACTGAGGTCTGTCCAATAGCTGCTTAATTATAATTTATTGCCTTTTATCAGACCACATGGTTAATTTAAATAAAGTGAGAAACCTTTCAAATTGGAAAATTAGTATCTTAGTTTTTATAAGAACATATTTATTAAGTACAAGATCCTAAAAAATATCAGGCTATAGTTAGTGTTTGCACAATACAGCCATACAATAGATGCTGAAATGTTCTCTGGAAACCAGCATTGTATTTCTGTGAATGTTCTCTTCTTTTAGAGCTCAAACCCTGCTTCAAGATCCAACTTTAACTCCTGATCACATAATGCAAAGTATGTGAAAATACAGTTCAAAAATAATAAAATGTGCAATCTCCCTTTGTTAAGCTTTACACATATTGCAAAAATTGATGGGATCAACCAAAGCTGTGGCACTTTCTTAGTGTTCCAATGTTTGTATAAAACATTCAAGCTTGGATATTCGGGTTTAGAAGCTCATCCAAATGCTGCATGTGTTACAATCTTATGACACATTTCCAACCATCTGTCGCAAGTAACTGGTGCCTTGCAGTTCTAGGTTATATAATCCTGTGAGCACAAAATATTTTTGTTTATACAAAATGTTATTTTGCCTGAAGGGATTTTGATTGACATCTGAAGTTACTTGTTGGCCAATTTATGACTCAGTATCCCCACAGTTCCATCATCTTAGACTTTGCTATTACAGTGGTGCAGCAGTAATAAATGAAGTTAATTGAAAAATAAAAAGCCAGATCAAATGGCTCTTCATTCTAAGTAACAGATTAGCAAACTCAGATGTATCATTCATTTTTTTAATCTCCATCTTCAGCCATATGTTGATCCATTTTGTAAACATGACAGCAAAATGTTCGAGGTGGCAGCAGTTGTATATGTATTATAGTGTCTCTGTCGAAGAGCAATTGATGGCTGTAGGTCTACACATTTAAGAAAACAAAATTGAAAAACTGGGTAAGAGGAGCCACAGGCGCTTTTCCACATCGTTTTCACCCATATTGGTTTTATAATTTCATCCAAATAATAAACAAAATAAATTGTAAAAGTTGCAAGTACAATTCGCAGTCTGTGTTAGTTTCAGGTGAGACAAAGGTAGCAGAGTTCCTCTTGGCCTCACCCTTCAGACCTGGAATGAGAATATTGCCTAACATTCCTATAGCTGATCATTATCCAGAAATGCATATGTGTTTACCAGGTGGGAACAAGATTGGATTGAGCTGCAGTAACCTCTGCAGTTGAATAGACACAGACAGACACATAACGTTTGCCAATTGTATTGTCTATTCAGTTGCAGAGGTTACTGCAGCTGAACCCAATCTTGTTCTCACCTGGTAAACACATACGTATTTCTGGATAATGATCAGCTACAGGAATGTTAGGCAATATTCTCATTCCAATCTTAAAGGGTGAGGCCAGTTAGAGCTCTGTTACTTTTGCCTCACCTGAAACTAACACAACTATCCCAATATCCCACATAATAACCTCACATTCCTATGAAACCATACCCAATGCAAGCAGTCAGGAACTGCAGAAGATCAAGGGAGGGAAGGGCGCTAAAATAAAAATGGCTGCTGTTGGAAAAGACCATTTTCATTCTATGGATTCTATGATTCTGACTGCAGCATTTTAGACTTTTGTCATTATTGAGAAGGCTAAAAGGGAATAAGGTTGAGAGACCATTAATATTATGAAGGTTATCAAGTAAATCTTGCTCTTGTCAGCAAGATGGTAGCAAGTAGGTACAAATTTCAGGTAATTTTAAAAAAATCAATGGAATTTAGAAAATTCTTCAGTGGATGGTTAAAGTGTGAAGTTCTCAGCTACAAACCATCATGAAATAAGTCTAACATTTCTTAGGAATTTTACATAGTTGCTTGAAATAAACAATAAAAACGGGAGTGGGAAGGATTAGATTAATGTGAAGCAAAATACCAGTGTAGTCCTGTCTTGTCAAATGGCCCGTTTCTGTACCACTGGGAATTTTATCACTGTACCACTGGGAATTATAATATGATTATATTATGAGATATTATGACTAAATCCTAAGAGGACAAAGTCACAAATGTGGCAGCCCTCTTAAAGTCAGAGCTCAGAAGTTCCTTAGTAGTCAGCAAACAGTAGACCTTGTTGGTTCAGGGACATTCACAGGGTGCAAGACAGTTGCATGCCCAAGAACTTTCTGTGTGCTGAGGTAACCAAAGTCAGATGACCAGTAGGACATTCAAAGCTCTACTTCGCGAATGTTTATGAGAATGAGACAAAGGCCCTTGGCAATGATCATTACAATCAGCCACCATTAGCTGACAGGAAAGTGTTGATGGCTTCTGTGGTTGGCATACACCACCATGACCAGTGGCTACAACAGCTTGGCAAAAGGGACTGATACTGAAAATAACCTTGGAAGCTTTACATACATTCCAAACACTCATCTAAAACAGCATGATCCTTCAGCTGTTCACAACAGCGAGGTAATGACCATACTCAACCAGCCCATGCTTGCAAAAACTCAAACAGTTCCTAACACTAGACATGATTCTGCAATTGAACAACAATTACCGGATAATTCTCAACATGCAAAAAATTACACTGACAAACAATTTGGATTGGCTGTTGGGCCAGTGCAGCACACTTGTCAACTGGAAGCTACATATTTTAATACTCAGGGTCCTGCTCTTTGAAGACAGAAAGAACAAGTGCACACCACAACTATTTCAATTCAACAAGATAGGTGACAGCCATTTCCTGGTTCATTCCTCAGGGCAATGATCTGACCAATCAGAGTCAACCCGCGTGCTTTAAAATTTAACAAAGCTTAGCTTTCAACTGTCAATCAGCATTAATAGTGCATTCTCCATTGCAAAGCTTCTACTAGTCAAAGCCCACTTGCCAACCACTGCTTTCTTCTCAAGCAGTTTAAATGTTGGTTTTCTCCTTGAATTTTTATTCTTGCAAAATATTCTGATGGGTTTAAGGTGAGCGGGAAAGATTTAAAAGGGAGCTGGGGCCACCTTTTTCACACAGAATGTGGTATGTGGATGAACGTACTGTCTGAGAAAGTGGTGGAGGCTGGTACAATTACAACATTTAAAAGTTATCTGCATGGATAAATGAATAGGAAGGATTTAGAGGGATATGGGCCAAATGCTGGCAAATGGGACTAGATTAATATAGGATGTCTGGTTGGCATGCACGAGTTGGACCGAAGGGTCTGTTTCCTTGCTGTTTATCTCTACGACTCTATGACGCTCAAAGAGTGCAAGACGAAAAGCTTTGACAAAATGATTTTTCAAGCAATATTCAAATTCTGTACTACCAAACCACTATAAGAATAACCTAATTGTTGTATGAGAATTACATAAGTTCTTCAAGTGGGATTAAGTAGCAACCTACATTGCGATGTCACACAAAGTTTAATTGGTATTTAATACTAAAGAGATGTCATCGCTAACACTCAATTTGAAATTAAGCATATGAAAGTTTCTTCTTGTTTCCTCTTTCCACATTTTCCCAAACAGTCCTCTATTTACAATTAAAGAGCTAACCATGCTATTCCCAGGCCTCCGTTAAGTGACAGAAAGCATATGGAAATGGATCAGACTAGCTCCTGATCACGTTCCCTAGCCTTTATCCTGCTTCCATGGAAAGTATTTTGTCTGTCTATCATGATGACATGACTGAGCCTGGTAGCTCAATATGTGGAGAATCGAAAGTATGAACACGTCAAAATCTCTGGTCCGTAAGCCAATATTACATTAAACTAAATAATGGTTTACTGGTCATACTTACAACATTCCATGGTTCTTTTAATGGAACACTCTTAATTAAGATGCCAGATTGGTTGTCATAAAAATCAATATGAATCTTTTCTTTGGAGTCTGTTGGAGGTACTGCCAAAGCAGCCAACAGTTCGAGTTCATCCTCGTAGTCTACTGTTTTAAAGGTCTTAAAAAGTGACGAAACAATAAAGGAATAAGAATTCTTCATTTGTGATTACAAGTCACTGATTAAATGAAACAATCCATGCAGGGTTTCATACTCACCACTGTTCCACATAGACTGTCTAATATATGGTAGTAAATACTCCAGTGTTTTAGAATCTTATAACAGTTAATCACATTAGACACAGATAAATTTGTACCTATTTGCATAATTGATTAGTCTGTTCTAAGATCACTTTTTTCCACAAGATCAATGTTGTAAGTGTATATTAAACAATAAATCAATTGAGTTTTAAAAATCAAATACACTGAGGGACATAACATGAAGAACCATGGAATAGAATTATGTCTGATTGGATTGAATAGATAGTTCTCATCTGTGTGAAAGATACAATCTGCATTGATTGGGATATGTAATTTTCACTCATCGTTCTTGAAAATCCATTTATGCTACACAGTTAATATTAGGATAATAACAAAAATTCAACTTAAATTAGATACTTAGGGGAGTCATGTGTATTAATCAACATATCTGCCTACCCAGTTGGCTGCATTCTTGATTTTAGAAGATAAAGTTAAAAAGTTCTCCAACCTCATAAATCTTTTCAAACACTTTTCCTCGTAAAACACCTTTGATTCAGGAATCACCTCATGAATCTTCTTTGAACTGCTTCCAATGCAAGAATATTCCTCAAATTTTTGTCCAATGTGTGCAGGAGGGCTTCCTGACACAGTATGTAGATAGGGCAACAAGAGGCGAGGCCACATTGGATTTGGTACTGGGTAATGAACCAGGCCAGGTGTTAGATTTGGAGGTAGGAGAGCACTTTGGTGATAGTGACCACAATTCGGTTACGTTTACTTTAGCGATGGAAAGGGATCGGTATATAAAGCAGGGCAAGAGTTATAGCTGGGGGAAAGGCAATTATGAGGCGATGAGGCAAGATTTAGGATGCATAGGATGGAGAAGGAAATTGCAGGGGCTGGGCACAATTGAAATGTGGAGCTTGTTCAAGGAACAGTTACTGCGTGTCCTTGAGAAGTATGTACCTGTCAGGCAGGGAGGAAGTGGTCGAGCGAGGGAACCGTGGTTTACTAAAGAAGTTGAATCTCTTGTCAAGAGGAAGAAGGAGGCTTATGTAGAGATGAGGCGTGAAGGCTCAGTGAGGGCGCTTGAGAGTTACAAGTTAGCCAGGAAGGACCTAAAGAGAGAGCTAAGAAGAGCCAGGAGGGGACATGAGAAGTCTTTAGCAGGTAGGATCAAGGAAAACCCTAAAGCTTTCTATAGATATGTCAGGAATAAAAGAATGACTAGAGTAAGATTGGGGCCGGTCAAGGACAGTAGTGGGAAGTTGTGCGTGGAGTCCGAAGAGATAGGAGAGGTGCTAAATGAATATTTTTCGTCAGTATTCACACAGGAAAAAGACAATGTAGTCGAGGAGAATACTGAGATACAGTCTATTAGACTAGACGGGATTGAGGTTCATAAGGAGGAGGTGTTAGCAATTCTGGAAGGTGTGAAAATAGATAAGTCCCCTGGGCCGGATGGGATTTATCCTAGGATTCTCTGGGAAGCTAGAGAGGAGATTGCAGAGCCTTTGGCTTTGATCTTTATGTCGTCATTGTCTTCAGGAATAGTGCCAGAAGACTGGAGACTAGCAAATGTTGTCCCCTTGTTCAAGAAGGGGAGTAGAGACAACCCTGGTAATTATAGACCAGTGAGCCTTACTTCGGTTGTAGGTAAAGTGTTGGAAAGGATTATAAGAGATAGGATTTATAATCATCTAGAAAGGAATAATTTGATTAGGGATAGTCAACACGGTTTTGTGAAGGGTAGGTCGTGCCTCACAAACCTTATTGAGTTCTTCGAGAAGGTGACCAAACAGGTGGATGAGGGTAAAGCAGTTGATGTGGTGTATTTGGATTTCAGTAAAGCGTTTGATAAGGTTCCCCATGGTAGGCTATTGCAGAAAATACGGAGACATGGGATTGAGGGTGATTTAGCGGTTTGGATCAGAAATTGGCTAGCTGTAAGAAGACAGAGGGTGGTGGTTGATGGGAAATGTTCATCCTGGAGTTCAGTTACTAGTGGTGTACCTCAAGGATCTGTTTTGGGGCCACTGCTGTTTGTCATTTTTATAAATGACCTGGATGAGGGCGTAGAAGGATGGGTTAGTAAATTTGCGGATGACACCAAAGTCGGTGGAGTTGTGGATAGTGCGGAAGGATGTTGCAGGTTACAGAGGGACATAGATAAGCTGCAGAGCTGGGCTGAGAGGTGGCAAATGGAGTTTAATGCGGAAAAGTGTGAGGTGATTCACTTTGGAAGCAGTAACAGGAATACAGAGTACTGGGCTAATGGTAAGATTCTTGGTAGTGTGGATGAGCAGAAAGATCTCGGTGTCCATGTGCATAGTTCACTGAAAGTTGCCACCCAGGTTGATAGCGTTGTTAAGAAGGCGTACAGTATGTTAGGTTTTATTGGTAGGGGGATTGAGTTTCGGAGCCATGAGGTCATGTTGCAGCTGTACAAAACTCTGGTGCGGCCGCACTTGGAGTATTGCGTACAGTTCTGGTCACCGCATTATAGGAAGGATGTGGAAGCATTGGAAAGGGTGCAGAGGAGATTTACCAGGATGTTGCCTGGTATGGAGGGAAGGTCTTATGAGGAATGGCTGAGGGTTTTGAGGCTGTTTTCGTTAGAGAGAAGAAGGTTAAGAGGTGACTTGATAGAGACATACAAGACGATCAGAGGATTAGATAGGGTGGACAGTGGGAGCCTTTTTCCTCGGATGGTGATGGCTAGCACGAGGGGACATAGCTTTAAATTGAGGGGTGATAGATATAGGACAGATGTCAGAGGTAGGTTCTTTACTCAGAGAGTAGTAAGGGCGTGGAATGCCCTGCCTGCAAAAATAGTAGACTCACCCACTTTAAGGGCATTTAAATGGTCATTGGATAAACATATGGATGATATTGGAATAGTTTAGGTTAGATGGGCTTCAGATTGGTTTCACAGGTCGGCGCAACATCGAGGGCCGAAGGGCCTGTACTGCGCTGTAATGTTCTATGTTCTATGTTCTAAGGAGACTAAAACATGTTCCAGGTGCTACCTCACCAACGCCTCGTACACTTGCAGCAAAATTTTTTATAATCCAACTCTCTGTAGTAAAGTCCAACATTAAATTTGTCTTCCTAATTATTTGCTGTATTTGCATGCTAACTTGTTGTGATTCATGTATTCTGCAGTCTTATTCCACTTTCTGATTGGTCAGTGCTGGTCAGGTGCTAGTTTGTGTTAACCTGTTGTTACAGGTGAAGGAATCTCATTGCACTACAGGATAAGTGTGTCTCAGTATTTCTAAAGGTTTGTACAGTTAGTTCATCTTCTGGTTAGTATAGGGAAGTCAGATAGTGAGTACGTTCGGGGGGCGATTTGTTAGAAAGTAATTTTTAGGCAGCTAATTAAAATTTAACTTGTAAACTAACAGCATATAGAGGGTTAGTCACGTCACTTGGTGAGGCATTGTGTTCTGCGAGATGTGGTCAATCATGGAAGCTGACAGCATCCCGGATAATTACATCTGCAGGAAGTGCACCCAGTTTCAGCTGCTCGCCAAATGTTTGGATGGGCTTGAGCAGCCGTTGGAGATACTAAAGAGCACACAAATGGCAGAGTTTAAAGAAAATTTGAAGAAACATGGTCACACCCAAGGTACAGGAAGTTAGATGGGTGGATCATTGGGATGTCTTCCAGGGAAGGTGTGACCTGTACAAGAAGGATGGGTTGCACCAACATCCTGGCAGGGAGGTCTGATGGTGCCACTCGGGATTATTTATACTAGTGTGGCAGGGGTTTGGGAACTGGAGAAGCAGTAAGCAGAGAGACTGGGTAAGAGCTTGAGACTAAGGCAAATATATCTAAGAAGAAGGGCAGTCAGAGAGAGGTTGCTAAGCTCAGTGGAACTGGAAGCTTGGCTGTATTTACTTTAATGCAAGAAGTTTAATAGGTAAGATGGATGAATTTAGAGCCTGCTTTAATGTATGCAAATATGACATCGTTGTCATCACAGAGACATCGTTGAAAGAGGGCAGGGTTAGCAGCTTAATGTTCCAGGATATTGGTGTTTTAGATGAGACAGAGGAGGAAGCAAAAGAGGTGGGAGAGTTGCATTGCTGGTTAGGAAGCATATCGCAGCTGTGTTGAGGGAGGACACCCTGGAGGGATCTTGCAGTGAGGCACTATGGGTGGAGCTCAGGGATGGAAAGGGTACAATCAAAATGATGGAATTGTATTACAGATCTCCCAGCTGCCAGTGGCAGATAGAAGAAGAGATATGTAGTCAGATTCTAGAAAGATGTGGAAATAACAGGGTTGTTGTGGTGGGTAATTTTAGTTTCCCCATATTGACTGGGACTCACTTCGTGTTGGGGGCTTTGGATGGGGAGCAATTTTTTAGGTGTGTCTAGGAGAGTTTTTTTTGAAATAGTATGTGCAAAGTTCAATGAGGCAAGGGGCCATACTGGACATGGTATTAGGAAGTGAGCCCGGCCAGGTGATCAAAGTTTCAGTGGGGGAGCATTTTTGGAATAGTGACTACAATTCCGTAAGCTTTCGGATACTTATGGATAAGGACAAGAGTGGACCTCAGAAGAAGGTGTTAGATTGGGGAAGGCCAACTATTACCGAATTAGATAAGAATTGGAGAATGTGGATTGGGAGCGGCTGTTTGAGGGTAAATCCACATTTGACATGTGGGAGTCGTTTAAAGACCAATTGATTAGATTGCAGGGCAGACATGTTCCTGTGCAAATGAAGGACAGGAATGACAGGATTTGGGGACCTTAGATGACAGGGGAAATTATCAGCTTACTCAAAACTAAAAAGAAGCATGCCTAAGGTCCAGGCAACTAAAAACAGATGAAGTCCTTAAAGAATACTGAATAATATTGAGAAAGTAGGAAGGAGTTCAAATGGGGAGTTAGAAGTCCTAAAAGGGGCTATGAAATGTTCTTGGCCACAACGGTTAAGGAAAATCCCAAGGCATTTTATACATATTAGGATCAAGAGGGTAGCTAGGGAAAGAGTAGACCCACTCAAGGTTAAAGGAAGGGAGGTTATGTGTGGAGCCAGAGGAACGGGATGAGATCCTTAATGAGTTCTTTATATCGGTATTCACCAAAGAGAGGGATGTGAGGGAGGTTGAGGATAGGGGAAAGTGTGTGAATACTCTTGGGCAGGTCAACATAATGAAGGAGGAAGTGAAGGGTGTCTTGAAATGTATTAAAGGTAGACAATAGCTGGGGCCTTAACAGATATCTTCGCATTCTCTTTGATCTCAGATGAGGTTCCAGAGATCTGGAGAATGGCCCATGTTGTTCCTTTGTTTAAGAAGGGAAACAGAGATAATGCAGGTAATTGCAGGCCGGTGAGCCTGATGTCAGTGAAGGGGAAGCTGTCGGAGAAGATACTGAGTGACAAGATTTACTCACATTTGGAAGTGAACGGACATGTTAGTGATAGGCAGCATTGTGTAGGGAAGGTCATGTCTCACCAATTGAGTTTTTTGAGGAAGTGACAAGAATGATTGACGAGGGAAGGACAGTTTGGATGTCCTTCTACATGGACGTTAATAAGGCATTTGATAAAGTATTTCATGGCAGGATGGTACAAAAAATACAGTCTCATGGGTTCTGGGGTGAGCTGGCTAGATGGATACAAAACTGGCTTGGTCATAGAATACAAAGTATAGCACTGGAAGGGTGCTTTTCAGAATGGAGATCAGTAACTGGTGGTGTTCCGCAAGGATCAGTGCTGGGACCTTTGTTGTTTTTTATATATATGTATATATACATGTGTGTACATATTAGAAAGATAAGAATGATCTGGAGGAAAATGTAGGTGGTTTGATTAGTAAGTTTGCGGTTGACACCAAAATTGGCGGAGTTGCAGACAGTGAGGAGGATTGTCAAAGGGTACAGAGGGATATAGATAGAATGTAGACTTGGGCAGAGAAATGCAGGTGGAGTTTAATCCAGACAAATGCGAGGTGATGCATTTTGGAAGATCAAATTCGGTGCGAATTGTACAATAAATGGCAGAACCCTTAGGAGCATTGATACACAGAGTGATCTGGGTGTACAGGTCCACAGATCCCTGAAAGTGGCAATACTCATGGAAAAGTTGGTTGAGGAGGCATACAGCACGCTTGCCTTCATTAGCTGGGACATCGAATATAAAAGTTGGCAAGTTATGTTACAGCTGTATAAAACTTTACTTAGTCCACATTTGGAACACTGTGTGCAGTTCTGGTGGATGCTTTGGAGAGATTGCAGAGAAGGTTTACCAGGATGTTGCCTGGTCTGGAAGATTTTAATTATGAGGAGAAGTTGGATAAATTCAGATTGTTTTCACTGCAAAGATGGAGGCTGCGGGGCAATCTGATAGAGGCCTACAAAATTATGAGAGGTATAGATAGGATGGATAGTCAGAGGCTTTTTCCCAGGGTGGAAAGGTCAACTACAAGAGGGCACAGGTTCAAGGTGAGAGGGGCTAAGTTTAGGAGAGAAGTGCAAGGAACATTTTTAACACGGAGGGCAGAGCGTGCCTAGAACGCACTGCCAGTGGATGTGGTGGAAGCAGATACATTAGCAACATTTAAGACGTATCTTGATTGACACATGAATGGGAGACAAACAGATGGATAGAAACCACGTGGGCAATAAATAGCAGGTCTAAATAAGGATTAGGAATCGGTGCAGGCTTGATGGGCCAAGTGCCCGTTCTTGTACTGTATTGTATCGTATTTAAATAATATTCAATCTTTCTATTCTTCTGGTCAAAAGTGGACAACCTCAAAGTTTCCTACACTGTACTCCATTTGCCAAGGTTTTGCCTAACTCACTTCACCCGTCTATATCCCTGTGCAGACTCTTGTGTCCTCACAACTTAGTTTCCTATTAATCATCATACTATCAGCAAATCTGGCTACTACACATGTTCTCTTCACTTAAGTCATTAATGTTGATTGTAAATACTTAAGGCTCCAGCATGTAATATATGAAATGGGCAAATAAGAAACAGAACAGGTTTATACACAATGGGTTGTGTTATAGACTCTTAGATTGCAAACATGGTAATTCAGTAGCTTTGCCTTGCAACATTTCTTTGCTATCATTTCTAACCTCAATTGCTCTGGTATCAAGCAGGTATGATACTCTAAGGAGAGCTTAAGCATTCTCTCTCACATATGTCAACAGAATGTTCACTTCACTAGCCATTAAATACAATGGTCGAGAGCTAGTCCTGCTTCATCTACACTTCTACACTTGAGGGTAGTATGGGGAATGAATGGAGCAGGAGGAGGAGCAGAGGCTTATTTGGTTCTTCTCAAAGTTGTGGAGCAACACAAATGCCACGGGATGAACCTGCTCTCGGAGCACATTCCCAAAATTTATGAGCACTGAGAATGGAATTATAGGATTGAGCAGTAAACAGGAGATGAATTTTTTGAGAGGGTAAGATCTTGAGGTTCAGCAAGACGAGGGGTGTTTTGAAGTATTGAAGGTTACAAAATTTTCTGCCAATAAGTTTTCTTTCCTGCTAGAATCCAACTTCTTTCTACTGACCTGCCAAAAATTAAGTGATTAAAAATATTGTTTCAAGTTTTAACTTATATTTCTAAAGAGTTTGTAAAATAATTTCCATCAAACTGTATTTCTTCATTAATGCCTGTGGAATGAACATGAAAACTGTCCAAATTCAGAATGGAGTAAAACTCATATACACAAACAAATCTGTCACATGGATTGTATACATTAGAAAAAGTTGTGATGATCAGATTCAGAAAGCAATCAATTTCATGAGAATAAACGATATGCAAGAAGTAAAGGTCATTTTAAACTGAAAGGAGGCTGAGGAGAGAACATTTCACATTCAGAATATTCAGTTACAGTGACAACTGAATACTGAGGTAGATAGTCAATCTCAAGTTAAATTCCACTGGTTTCATTACAAGAAATGCCCATTACAAGAGATAAGTCCTACGTACTAATGCATTCTAAATCAACAATTACCTCATAATTGTCATCGTCTAATTGAGAAAATCTTCTTTTCACAACTCGACCATAAGCTGTCACTCTCACTGAGCTCTCCACCTTGAAGAGGGATATTTTATTGAACAGTTAAAAATCAACTTCCTGTTTGTTAAGTATTCACCTATATCTTATACTTTCATAACTATTTACAAAGTGAGCAAACATCTTAAAGGCACTATTTCAGGATAGTTTCTCTACTCAATAAATTTTATGAGCACAGGTGCATATTTTTAGTTATACAAAGAGATATATTTTTATTTCTGGGAAGGTGAATACAATGGTAAATTAGCTTTATTATCACGGCTGTGTATGTACCAGTGGAAGCATGTATTAAGCATATGGGGAAATTTGTTTTTGTTCAGTTCCCTGGAATTTCGCTAAGGTATGGGATCTGCGTATGTTCAGTGGCGGTTTGGATTATTATCCTTGTCTGTTTTAAGGTGGATTGGTGTTCACTTATTTCCTTTCTGTGTTAATTTTATCTCTTTCATGGCCAATTTTGTTGATTTTGGGTGCAAAATTATGCAACTTGAACCTTCAGAATTCTCAGCACTCCCAGGCATAAGCTGAAATATTCGGATTAGGTTATGTCCTACTGTTGTGTGTTTATTGCAGGAAGGGAGAAGCTCCCATAATGGGTGGCAATTATTTCTGCTAATTAGTGTGTAGAAGGGTTGGGGTTGCTTCATTTTCTCAATAAGTCTAACACATGTTCTAATTAATCCAGAAGCTGATAATACAGAAGAAATCAGTAGCACCTTGGAAATTGGCCCATATCTTTCCCTTAGTTGAGATGGGTACATTGCATCAGTGTGGGATGATGGAGCAGATAGGAATAGTGACTTATTCTCAATTTATTTTGGTGAGAATTCTCTCATCCTTCCGATGACACTGTGACTGTCATAGGTATTCACAGTTGAAAACAATTCTGTCACATGCAACATGCAACATGCTCATTCCAAGCTCTAATCTTATCAAATGTCATTGGAGAGCACTGCAAAGATTTTATGCCACAATCAAACCTGGTCCTGGGTATTGCACCGAGTAAATGATCCACAGATGAAAGACCTTAAATCAATGCCCATTGGCTCTCCAGTGTACAGGTTCAATGGCACTAATTGAGTAGCAAAGTCTGACCAATGTTTGTACTTCAATCATCACCAGCATAATTAGATCAGCATCACGTTGCTATTTGCATTAAGTGAAAATTGGGTGCTGTGTTTCTCTATATTATAAATAGTTATTATGCTTCAACAGTATTTCATTGGCTAATATTTGGAGATTACAAAGTGCTAAATAATAGTGATTTTGTTATGGGATGGTAATTTCATGTTTGCTCATAAAATTCCTCATACATTGGTATAACTGCAGCAGTTTCTCTAATTGGTCATCATAACATCTATGGAAGGTTCTAGAATTTAAAAATGGTTAGGACACAATTTAGAGAACAGCTTATGCCAAATTGTCAGTTATGTCATTGAATGTCAAAGGAAGATGGTTAGATTTTCTTTTGTTGCAGTCGTCATTGCCTGGCAATTGCCACCTTGTTCGACCGAACTCAATTTTTAATTTGTTCATGGAATGTGAGCTTTTCTGGATGGGCCAGCATTTATTCCCCAATGATAATTGCTCTGGAGAAGGTAGTGGTGAACTCCCTTCTTGAAGCTCTGCAGTCTTTGGGGTATAGAGTACTGTTGAGGAATTCCAGGATTTTGACTTAGTGAAGTCACAATGATATAGCTCCAAGTCTGGATGGCGCATAGCTTGACAAGGAGCTTACAGTTGGTGACATTCCCATGCACTTGTTGCCTTATGCTTCTGGATGGCAGAGGTTATGGGTTTTGAAGGTGCTGTTAGAGGCTTGGGGAGTTACTGCAGTGCATCTTGGAGATAATCGACATTACTGCAATTGTCTGTTGGCAGTGAAGGGAGTGAATGTTGAAGTGGTGGATGCAGTGTTGATCAAGTGGGCTGCTTTGTTCTTGATTGCGTTAAGCTTCAAATGTTGCTGGAGCTGCACTTAACCAGGAGGGTGGAGGGTATTCCATTACACTGCTGAATTATACATTGTAGATTGTGAACAGGCTTTGGGAGACAAGAGATACATTTCTCCACAGAATTCCTAGCTTCTGACCTGCTCTTGTAGTCATAGTATTTGTATGGCTGTTCTAGTTCAGTTTCTGGTCAATGGTAACCCTCAAGATGTTGATAATGGGGGGGGGATCCAGTGATGGGAATGACATTGAATGTTAGGGGGTTACTTAGGTTTCCTCTTTTTGGAGATGATCACTGCCAGGCATATATATGCCATGAATGCTACTTACCATTCATCAACCCCAAGCCTGGTGTTGTCTTTGTCTTGCTGCATATGAGCATGGAAAAGCATAAATATCTGAGGAGTCATGAATGGTACTGAAAATTATGCAATGATCAGTAAGTATTCCCATTTCTGACCTTGTGCTAGATGGGATATTATTGATGATGGTTAACCCTAGGACATTACCCTGAAGAACTACTGAGTGATATTTGCCTCCAACAAGCACATCCATGCTTCTTAGAATGAGGTATGACTCCAATCAATGGAGAGTTATCTCCATTCCCCGATACCAATACCAATTAATTTCAAGGCTGCTTGGTGCCATATCAAGTTACATCTTTCATTTCTCTCATTCCATCTTAGTCACCTTGGCCTTCCACCATGAAACTTTTTGCCATTTAACATTTCCTCCCCTCCACCACATACAAATGTTCCCTTTACTTAGTTTTAACTCACTAACCAAAGCCCCACTTGTTTCATTTGCTCAAAATTGTTTACAGTACCAACATTTTTCCAGCTCAGAAACCTGAAATGTTAATTTTGTTAAGTAACTTCCATGTTCACTACTCAATATTCTGAAAAGAACTACAAGGTTGTCAAGTTAAGCATTCCCCTTGCAAAGGAGAACTAGACAGAGTCTGCCTTAGGCAGCAACCATCAGAAGGAGCTTAGTGATCCTTGGTGTAATTGTGAGAAGAACAGAACGTTATATAATTTGTCATTTTAAGCTAACAAATCTCTTCCAGAAGACTGAATCTGCGTAAGTCTCTGGAAAATAGCTTAACTTCCCTAAAGCAGAGAGAACATTCCTTGTTCAGAATATTCTTAAAACAAGGGTACAAGACCCTAAGCACTTTATCTTCTAAAGGACGAACATATAGGAACATCAAGTTTCAAATGGTTTATGAGTTATAGCAATACATAAATCCAATTGTCTACGCAAACTCAACTCTCCTACCACAGCCAGCCAACAAAGTGTTGCTTGTTCCTCGAAAAGGCGAACATAGTAAAAAAAATCCCCATCACCTCCACCCATTGGCTGGGAATTAAGACCAGTAAAACCCCTACACAGTACACAGGATTAGACTCAGATGCTCACAAGAATTGATACCAATGGTATCACTAGCCATCTGGAAGAAGTTCTGCAAGCCACTTCCCTTGGAACCCAGCGGGAGGTTTCCAATCTCACAATAGATCAATGCAATTAAAGGTGGAAAAAAATTATTTACCGCTCTTTCTCTTGCAGAATAAATAGTAAAGGCTCGTAAAACCTGCCATCTCTGTAAACCTTCAGATTTTTCAGACAGCTGCAACACACTAGCAAGTAGTGTTAACACAAGTGATAAGAAACATTAATTTATGTTATAAAGGAAATATTTTTTGATATTTAACATTTTATTAATATCTAAAGTTATTCAATAACATTAAATATTTTCATTTCAGTGAAAAATTCACATCACGTTATCAATATTAATACACCAGCAATCAGCCCGATTGTGGAATAAGGAAAAGTACCTTTTAAAAAAACTGATGACATTTAACGTAAGTCTTGCTTTTACTTATAAATTAACTAAATTCTTTCTTGCTGCTGCTAGGGATATTCGTCTGTTATTTTCATTGGTGAAACAGCCAAAATGTCTCTTGTTCTTAGCTATGGCTGGTTATGCTGGTGCATTAGCCTGATTATATGTTTGTATTCAGCTTACTTTACGTTGTTAATATCTGTAAATCCTGGAAACTTACCTCACAACTGACTCTCCCAAATCCATCTGATGCCAGACAGACCATTGGTTTATTGAAAATCATTATAGCTGCAACTGCCAATTTGTGATAATATAAATAAAACTCGTAACCATAATTCAAAACCTTGCAATAAACGTTGTTCAAAAATTACAATACAGTACATTATAAAATTCCAAACTCCTTAATGTGTAGTATAAAAATAAAAATTGCATTTTGCATTAAAGTCCACTGATCATATTTGTCAGATTGAGTTAATCTAGTCTCACTCATCACCTATTCTAGGTTTGTTAGTTAAATATACATTTCAAATTTCTGAGTGATGTTCTTTTTCAATTTCTTAGCCAGTCAAAAATTGCAGCAACTTAGATCAGCTATCATTTCATACTTGTATTGGTCTTCCAGTTTTCTCTGGAAGGTTGATTATACACACATTCCTTATTATTCCTTAGCAATAGGTCTCTTCACCCCATTTTCCATCCACTTTTGTTTGAAAACAGGTCGTATTGAGAGGAAATGGAGATCGTTCTCCTAAAAGTCTTAGCCAGCCAGATTTGCAGAAAAAGGGTGAATGAAATTATACAAACTTACTTAATTTGTGTTGGTCCAATGTGCATGATCCTTCCAGAATCATCTGGATGAAAATATATCCAATCAGTATCTAACGAACAACACTGCATCTCCTGAATTCCATTCTCTGCCTAATTGGACAAAAGTACATTTGACAGTCTGTACCACTCATAATATTCAATCAAAAATAATCAAACTAATCAGAATAGTAATATAACCATGGTAATGTCATATTTTCAATCATTTTGATTAACAATTATGCACTTCTGTATGCAGTTTTCTCACTGTGCTATGTTTTTTAAATTTGAGACTATTTAAAGGAAACACTCAGCAGCCTTCTAAAATGAGTTATACAACTCTGGTTTCCCATTCACAATGCTTCTGAAATGCAGTACAAAATTAACAGAGACACAAACATAGTACATTTCCACCTCTCCAAGTAAAACTCTCATTAGTTATTCTGAAAGAAGTAGAGAGGGCCACTCCAACATTCATAAAATACAAATGCAAAATGACATCAGTGTGGTCGCAATTGCCTTAATAGGCTGCTCACCTCCATAAAGCAGGGAATGGCCAGGACCATCTCCAGTCCTGTCTTCATTTGGGCGGGAGAATCCAGCCCAAAGAAAATAACAATAAAATGATTTTGCTTGTACTGGAGAAAATAGAATCATAGAATCCCATGAGTGTGGAAACAGGCCTTTCGGCCCAACAAGTCCACACCGAACCTCAGAGCATCCCACCCAGACCCATCCCCCTAATCTACAAGTCCCTGAACACTATGGGCAATTTAGCATGGCTAATCCACCTTACCTACACATCTTTGGACTGTGGCAGGAAACCGGAGCACCCGGACGAATCCCACGCAGACACGGGGAGAACGTGCAAACTCCACACAGACAGTCGCCCGAGGCTGGAATCGAACCCGGGTCCCTGGTGCTGTGAGGCAGCAGTGCTAACCACTGCGCCACCGTGCTGCCCCTAAAGCTCAAGGTTAATTCTAGACCAATTTTATTCTTAGTAAATACAAATGATTTGAATTTGCAAGGTGCACACAACCTAAAAAAAAATTACTGTAGAGATCTGATGAAACCATGAGACCTTAAAACATAGGAACAGACCTTGGCTACTTGGCCCAAGAGGTCTGCTCTGCCATCCAATGAGATCATGGCTGATCAGGTAATTCTCAACTCCACTTTTCTGCTTTATCCCCATCATTCTTGTTTCTCTTAATGACTAGAAATCTGTCTTTATCAGCCTTGAATATACTTAACAACCAAGCCTCAACAGCCCTCTGTGGCAAAGAATTCCACAGATTCACCACCGAGTCATAGAAACATAGAACTGTACTGCATTGAAAGAGACCCTTCAATACAACTTGTCCATGTTTAACAGATATCCTAAACAAATCTAGTCCCATTTCCCAGCATTTGGCCCATATCTCCTTAGATAAAGGGACCAAAACTGTTCACAGCTGTGGTCTGTTCCTTATTAAGTGTTAGCAAGACCTCCCTAGTTTTATACTTTGAAGTAAAGATCATGCTGGAAGTAATGAAGTAAAGATGCATAACATCTGCTTTGTTTTTGGCTAGATGAGAGCAGTTATGTGCGACAATTCTGAGAGACAGGTCAGCTTGATTCCCCACCTCCATCCGTTCCTTCCCTCCAGCCATTTCCCTGCAAATGATATTCTCCTGAAACAACAGCTCGCCAACTGACCTCATTATCTGTCAACTATGCTTACTGTCAGAGGTCAAATGCAATTTACTTATTGGCCTGTCTGTTGTCCAAGGGCATGGGAGAAAACAGTGTAGCTGCCTGCAGGCTGCCTCCTGGTGACAGAACAGCAGAGGATCAGAACGCCAAGCCAGTTTAAAGCTCCTCCGTGGCTTTCTGACTTTATTCACAGGTCATCCTATGAATAGAGCATCCCTCATAATTGTGGCCTGGTGTTGAACCTATTAAGTTAAAAATGTTGGATACAAGACACCTCCATTTTTGGGTGTCCTCTTCCTCATCTTGGGCAGCTTCTTCCTTCTTCAGGTCTGTTAGCCTGTCGACCTCAAGAACCTGTTGCCATCTTTAACTGGATGGCGCTGTGTCCTTCTGGACATTAATTGGCCAACCAGCAGAAAATCAGAACTAAGTAACAGGTCCTCAAACACAGCAGACTTAGAGTCATAGAGTCACAGAGATATACAACATGGAAAAAGACTCTTCGGTCCAACTTGTCCATGCGGACCAGATATCCTGGATAAATCTAGTCCCATTTGCCAGCATTTGGCACATATACCTCTAAATTCCTCCTATTCATATACCCATCCAGATGCCTTTTAAATGTTGTAATTCTACCAGCCTCCACCACTTCCTCTGGTAGCTCATTCCATACATGCACCACCCTCTGGGTGAAAAAGTTGCTCCTTAGGTCCCTTTTAAATATTTCCCCTCTCACCTTAAACCTATGCCCTTAAACCTAATTTTTAACTACCTTACCCTGGGGAAAAGACCATGTCTATTTACCCTATCCATGCCCCTCATAATTTTATAACATCTATAAGGTCACCCCTCAGCCTCCGACACTCCAGGGAAAATAGCCCCAGCCTATTCAGCCTCTCCCTATAGCTCAAACCCTCCAACCCTGGCAACATCCTTGTAAATTTTTTCTGAACCTTTTCAAGTTTCACAACATTCTTCCTGTAGCAGGGAGACCAGAATTGCATCTGGTATTCCAATGTCTTGTCCAGCTGCAACATGACCTCCTAACTCTTGTACTCAATGCACTGACCAATAAAGGCAAGAGTACCAAACGCCTTCTTCACTATCCTATCTACCTGCGACTCCACTATCAAAGAACTGTGAACCTGCACTCCAAAGTCTCTTTGTTCAGCAACACTCCCCCAACCTTACCATTCAGTGTATAAGTCCTGCCCTGATTTTCCTTTCCAAAATGCAGCACCTCACATTTATCTAAATTCAACTCCATCTGCCACTCCTCAGCCCACTGGCCCATCTGATCAAGGTCCCATTGTACTCTGAGGTAATCTTCTTTACTGTCCAGTATACCTCCAATTTTGGTGTCCTCTGCAAACATACTAACCGTACCTCTTACGTTCACATCCAAAACATTTATATAAATGACGAAAAGCAGTAGACCCAGCACCGACCCTTGTGGCATACCACTGGTCACAGGTCTCCAGTCTGAAAAACAACCCTCTACCATCATCCTGTCTTTTACCTTCGAGCTAGTTCTGTCCAAATGGCTGGTTCTCCCTCCACTCCATGTGATTACTTAAGTCCATATAGATCACATCCACCGCTCTGCCCTCATCAATCCTGTTCGTCGCTTCTTCAAAACTTCAATCAAGTTAGTGAGACACAATTTCCCACATACAAAGCCATTTTAACGAACCCTAATCAGTCCTTGCCTTTCTAAATACATGTAAATCCCGTCTCTCAGGATTCCCTCCAACAAATTGCCCACCACCGATGTCAGACTCACTAGTCTATAGTTCCCTGGCTGTTCCTTACACCTTTCTTAAATAGTGGCATAACGTTAGCCAACCTCCAGTCTTCTGACACCTCACCTGTGGCTATCGAGATACACATATCTCAGCTAGGGGCCCAGCAATCACTTCCCGAGCTTCCCACAGAATTCTAGGTCACACCTGATCGGGTCCCAGGGATTTATCCACCTTTATGCATTTTAAAAAAGCTTTCAGTTGCACTCGAGCCAGGGAAGATTTCTGACCCCTCATTTGACCATCACAACAGGAGTGCGAAGTCTGCAGAGGAAAATGCTGGCCATTTTCAGGCCATTGGGAAAGAACTATGTACAGTTTTCAACATCCTGTTCTAGAAAGCCCCATAGTGACTCCCAAACGTTTTCCTATTGTGACCCCGTTTTAAGATTTGAAAATTGACAAGCGTGAGCAGTTGAACTCTGGACCTGGGAGAGAAAGTTTGTGCATGTGTACGCATGTGTGTGTGTGTTGGTTTGCAAACTGTTTAATCTTCATGTTTTTTTTAAGACCCTATTCTTTCACTGGCATTTTTTGGATCAGGAATCAGGCCTCAAAGGTTGGTCATTGAGGTTGTGTCCACCATTAAAAATCACTAGGATATCAAGCAGTCTTTAGTTGCTGACCCATTTGGAGATTTGTGACAGCTATTGCCGCCTGAGAGCTTGTGACCCCAAAATCTCATATTCTGATTCACAGTTTGGGAAAATCCTACCCAAGAGAAGGTAAAATTTAAATTCACCAGTTTTGTGCTCAGAATGGGAAACGACTGCTGTGAGCATTAATCTAAGGTGATAGAGGTATTTCCAAAGGCACAAAGAATACTGAGCAGATTAAGTATACTCAGTCCTTGTTGTCTGCTTATTTGCTACCCACAGATCCACTTACTTGTGAAGTTGGCCCCAGAGTCCCTCTTGAATTTTTCCTATCGCATTGTTCAGGTCCATAAATAGTCTGCCTCAGAAAATATTTCATGGCCCTTTGCAGTACTACGGAGATGCCAGCCACATTTTTTTTGTTATCCATGGGAATGTCCATGTCCCTAACCCTTGCAGATAACAAGGACTGAGTACAAATGGGAAAACACTACACTTTCTGTATGGGAATCACTGACTTAAAGGTTATCAATTTAAAATTCTCACTCAAGTGGGGGACAGGTTAAGAGGAATTTGTTTGTTCAGAGAGTTACTAGAGCAAGGAATGTTTTGTTACAAGGAATGGTTGAGACAGACACAATTACATCTTTTAAGAAAGTTGGATTCCAGGCTAAAGGGAGAAAGCAGGACTGCAGGATTAGTTTTAGATTGATAAACAAGTCAGCAAAATAAGCCAAAAGACACAGAAGTAGGAGAAGGCCGTTTGGCCCTTCAAGCCTGCTCTACCGTTCAACAGGAACCAGATCATGTTGTGGTTACATTTCCATTTTACTCTCCATCAAAAACCTATCTAACTTGGTCTTCAATAAATGTAAAGTCTCAGACTCTATTACCTTCTGGGGCAAAGAAGTCCAAGCTCTCATAACCCTCAGGGAGAAAAAAAAAAAATTTCTTCCTTAAAAAGGAGAGATCCTCATTCTTAAACTACATCCCCTAGTTTTAATATCCCCTACTAGAGGAAACATTCTCCAGGCATCCACTCTATATAGTTTCCTCAAGATCTTATATGTTTCAATGAAATCACTTCTCATTCTTCTGAACTCCAACAGATATAAGTCTAAACTGTTCAACATTTTATTTTCATAAGATAAACCCTTCAACCCAGGAATGAGTTGAGTGAACCTTCTTGGAATAAGATGAAATAAATGGATTCCTTCTGTTTTCTAATCTGGTCAGGTTCCAGATTTGTTTACAGGCAAAGATGAGAATTTTCTATATATATGACCCAACTGCAAAACCATGTTGTGTAAAAAATACCAAAACAACTGTGATACATTACCAGCTTTTTATCCTTTAAAGAATAAATATGGTAGATGCCTTCCTGTTTTCGTTCATTAGGAGTAACGATATAATGCCAGGGATGTCCTCCAATCTGCAGTGCACTTTTAAGACAAGATACTTCAAATAGAACAGGTGGACAATCTGTGAAAACAGGGTTTTATGTTTACATTGATAATTGGCTGCATATGCATCCTAATTCTGCACAATACAAATTAGAAATGTTTTCATAAAATACCTGTTATTTTAATATTACATGGAATTCCAAATGGAGATGTACCCACAATTCCAGTTGTGTTGTTCCATTCACATTTTTGACCAAGTATACATTGTTTCTGCGTAAACTATGTAATGACAAGAATGTTGATATTTATATGAAAAGAACATTTCAGACTGCTAAGTGAAATATGTTGATGTTTCCTCCCACTGTCAAGGCTGTTATATGTTTTTAAAAAACAAAGAGCGTTCGAGCATAGATTTTACAATTGTTACACTGAATTAAATTTCTCATAGCTTTTATTCAATACCTACAAATTATAAAACTGTTACACCAAAACAATATACAAGTTAAAATAACCGTGCTATATAAGTAACTTCTTAAAAAGTAACATAAACCTCAAATAGTAGTCTTTTTGATCATGGGAAGATTGTTTTGAAACATTTGTCCAGGCTCAACTTCATTCTTTTATGTTTGGTACCGCATTGGGACCTTTAAAATTATTACTCGGAAACTCGTAACTCAGAAGGAACCAGAGAGGTATATACATTGTAAATGTATCAATAAAGTGATGGAAGAAGTTGAAGGTTAGAGGTGAAAGGAATCATTTATTAGCATACTATGCCAACCTAGCTAAATCAGTAACACAGTGACCGCTTGAATCAGAAGCTTGTGGATTCAAGTTGCATTTTGGAATTTGAGCATAAACAAAATTGACAGTCTAGTGTTCTACTAAGGTAGTGCTGCCAAGGTGAAGGTGATATCCTTCCAATGAGACAGTTAAGTCAAAGGAACATCTAGCATTCTAATAGCATTAGCCTGTAATTGTACTAAATTTAAACACTGCTGAAAAGAGATAGAAGTTGAGATGTTTGTCTTGTGCTTATTAGAACTAGAACTCAAAAAACAGACTTGTAAAAAGAGACACTATTATATTGACATAATAAATCTATTACATCTGAAATGTTGTCAACTTCCACTGAAAGTGTCCTGACTTCATTTACTGTTCTCATTAAAACCCAACTTTCAGTTCTTTAGCTCTTCGACTTTGATATAAGAATTATTTTTCAAAGCAAAGTCCAATCCAGAAACGTATTAGCTTACCTTTGTTTAACCTGCTCTTGACCTACTGAAATACCTCACTATATTCACTTGTTATCTCAATTATGCTCTTTGCACTTGTCAATCAAAAAAAAAGCAATTCTACTTTCTCTCTGGTTAAATTATCATTGTTGAAAACTTCATGAATAAGTATGTGAATAAAGGCATGATTTTTCAAATTACATAGGTGTTCTGATTAATAGGCTTCATGTTTAACAGATTCAGAATTCTCCAACAAACACTATATTCTTATTTTACCTTCTCAACAATCCGCTGAAAACTGTAAAGCTTGACTAATCCCATGCTGTACATCACAATGAGTAAACCATGAGAAACAGTGGCATCCGTTACATTGTTTCCAAAAATCTGAGTTGAAGAATACAGTATTAAAAGGTTTTACCAAGTTAAATCGATCAGGGGTGTCACATTTTGGCATTCTATTTGAACTCTGTCTAACTCATTGTTGTACTTAGTATTGCAAAATTGAGTTTGCTCTTCTAATTGAAACAACTTTAATTCATGGATGTGCAACTCTCAATTTTGGCCAGATATATAATTTTGGAAAAATGCAGTTTCCCTGTATAAATACAACCCACCACCCATAAGCAGTTAACATACATTACACAGTCAGATTTTTTAAAGAGTTGAAACAGAATTGTAAAACACAATGACACAGAAACAAATCATTCACTTCAACTGATCTATGTCTGCTTTTACACTCTTTTGTGAAGTCCTTTTTTTCTAACTTTAACCCAACCCCTTAATGCTAAATTTGAGCTTTTTCATTACCAGCCTGAGGACCAGTAGAAACTGTAATACTTATCACTGTAAAATACTTTGTAATTCTGAAGACTTCCTCAGCTCACACTATAACCGTTGCATGTTTCGATGTAAATCCCAAACTTATCAATTCACTCTACGTAGTAGGAATGTCAGTCTTCAACAGTACCTTACTGAATTCTAAAATAAAACAAAGAACAAAGGATGCTGGAGATCAAACAGGATTTGCTGGTGAAACTCAATTGATCCGACAGCATCTGTGGAGAGAAAATAGAGCTAATGCTTCAAGTTTAATGACCCTTCTTCAGATGTAGGATTTGAAGGATTCAGAAGGGTCACTGGACTTTAGAGGCTAGCTCTGTTTTCTCTCTGCACAGATTCTGACAGACCAGCTGAGTTTCTCCTGACTGAATCTACATTGGGTATTGCTGAAAAACTAACATGCTGTTGACATTTTCTGTCTTTCACTCATTAGAACAAACAAGTATGGCAAATTTCAAAGGCAGTAAATTTGTACTGCATGAGAAGTGAGCGCTGATTGGTCAATAGATTACCATGGAGATTGCACCAGAGATTATTGACCCTCTTACTTTTGCTTATAACTAAAGAGGCACAATAGCTGGATATTCCTTAGGTAGCACCTTCCTAACCCATGACCTCTACCATCTAGAAGGACAACAAGAGTAAATACATGGAAACACCACCACTTGTATGTTTTGCTCCAAGCCATTCACCATCTAGACTTTGAAACACGTCATCATTCATAGAACATAGAACAGTACAGCACAGTACAGGCCCTTTGACCCACGATGTTGTGCCGACCTACTATCCTACCCTAAGATCAAAACTAACCTGCATACTCTACATTTTACTATCATCCATGTGCCTATCCAAGAGTCGCTTAAATGTCCCTAATGTATCTGATTCTACTACCACTGCTGGCAGTGCATTCCACACACCCACCACTCTGTGTAAAGAACCTACCTCCGATATCTCCCGATATCTTCCTCCAATCACCTTAAAATTATGCCCCCTCATGATAGTCATTTCTGCCCTGGGAAAAAGTCTCTGGGTATCCAATCTATCTATGCCTCTCATCATCTTGTACACTTCTATCAAGTCACCTCCCATCCTTCTTCGCTCCAATGGGAGGAAACCAATGCAAACACAGGGACAATGTGCAAAATGTACACAGACAGTCACCTGAGGGTGAAATTGAAAAGACCATGTAGAATAACAATTCAGTGACATAGATGTAAGTGATAGTGAAGTGAGGAACTCCAAGTTTTGATGTGAGAGAGGTGCATATGGGCAGTCTGAGATGGTAGACTTAAGGCTCAATGAGGTGAAATGGAGGGCATGCAGGAAATGGCTGAATGACAATTCATTTCCCAGAAATGAGTCAAGTCCAGCTGGTAGAATCAAGGCCTAATCAGAACAGACAACTAGGAGTCTGTAGTCCACACGCACAGAATAAAAATCAGCCAAGTATAAATGATTTGTGTGTGCAGATGGTCAGCACAAACTACCGAGAACTGCAGACAACCCATAAATTGGATGAAATCCTATATATGACAAATACATGTCATACATGAAAAGATACAGGCAGAATGGGCTAGTTTTACATACATTGAGAATTCACTACTTCATGGATTGTCATATCTGAACAATTCATTTATTGGGGTCATTGTTAAATCAGGGACAGCAATGTGCAGGAGGTATTTTTGATGTAATTAATGCAAATTACAGTATACAGAACGTTTTAGAATAAAGAAACTTACATTTTTGTCGATAGCCAGCATTCCTACAAATGTAAGAGGTAGAACTCTGAACATAGCTAAATGTAAAAGAACTGAGTGTTGGATTCCAGCCTGAAAGACAGTAACAATTGTTACTTAAAGTAAGGCAAACAGAAAACAGTCGAATTACTGTAGGGTAAGAACCATTCCTATATTCAACAATTCTAAACCAGTGATCAACCTATCGCATGAGAAGTAAAGAGAATATCCTCAGCCAGCTGTGAAGTACCTCTATTTCACTGGGGTTTGACACTGCAGTGTCATGTCAATTTGGGTATAATAAGGGGTGTCTTGAATGCGTTTTAAATATACCAGGAGTTAATTTAAGTATTAGTACAGATGTGTCATCAAATCAAGCAGGGTATTGTCTCAATGGACCCCATGTTGCTACTGTTGGTACTGCAAACGATATATACAGAAAGTGTAAAAGGATAGTGTGTTATAACTCTATTACAGTCAGCTTGTATAATAATTTATCTGCTTATTTTACTTCAAAACTGGAACATTTTAATAGCATGACTAAAACCAGTTTATGTAATAAATAAGTTGTGGAAATGTAGGTTTGATAATGAGAAGAAAAGGAAGGTCTTTTTAAGAATGCCTGTGAGAGCCCAGTAATGAGAATTGTTTGTACATTGATGAGTTGCACCACAGAGTGACAAGACTGTTGCCTGCAATACTTCATCCAGTAATTTCAAAGTAGTTACAGACTCCCCAGTTGGAAGTAAAGTAGTTCACTGATGCAAGAAAAAAAAATCTAAACATGCTTTCTCTGCAGATAGCTCAACAGCAATTTGGCTAAATTAATTAATCTATGTAAAACATTTTGCCAAGCTGATTTCCTTAAGTTTTTGCTTGATGTTACTCATTGATTGTTACCATACCCGCACATTAGGATTAAACATTCTGATATAATCATTATGAATTGGTCGAATACTGCCAAAGAACAGCTCTCATTTTCATTTGGAAATTTACCAATTTTCTGAAATGGATTGCATAAAAAAAAACTGCTATTAAATTGATGCAGCAGTCAGTATTCCTCAAAATTAAGTGATATTTATTGAGTGCATATTGCAATTAAAGGTAGCAAATGCTTTGTACAGAATTACTAACAACATTGTTACTCTTCATCTGCAGAAAGACACATGCAGCAAAAACAAAAATAAATGCCTTTCACAGCTTATTCATTTCAAAAATCTTTCCTCCAAGGATGTTCAAAATGAATGTTGACTATTGACAGCTGCTAATTAGGAACAGAACAAGCAGAGAATTCCAGAAAATTCAGTGTGGTTTTACACAAACATTGCACTTAAATCAGCTTCATGACATTGTAGATCATTGCCTTGACTTACCGCTCTAGCCACAGCTGTAACTTTATTCTGTGTAGTCTTGGCTACTATTGTCTCTTGAGTATCGTCCCAAGTCAAATACCTGTTAATTATAATTAATTGTATAAACATCATAGAATATCAAATTTTATAGAGTCTGAAACACAACTAGGCAATTTGGCCCAACCAGTCCATATTGATGTTAGGTCCTCAAGAACTTCCTCCTACTACCCTTAGTTTAACCTTTACTGCAAGGCTTCCTAAAGTAGAAGTCAGGACCCCACATGAGGTTATGAGCTCCAAGGCAGCGATAGCCACTGTGGAGTTGACTCAGTCACAACAGTTGTGCTCACACTCTAACAGACACTTCACCCACTGTCTCTGAGTTCTGACTGACATCACAACAAATTTCAAGACTTGAACTGGGGTCATTGTGTGGAAAGATTTGGGAATCATTGCTGTAAACCATGCCCTTATATTCTTTTCTTTCTCATGTATTTATCTAGTTTCTCCTTACTGTATGTAGGCAATGGGTTTCAATTACTCCATATGGTAGCACATTTTATATGTAGAGCATTTGTTGGGTAAATAAGCTTTCTACCCCCAAATTCCCAATTGGATTTATTAGGGAACAGCTTCTTTCTGCTTTTATTTCTATCTATTTTTGAATTCCCCTCAAGTACCAAAATCTTCTACCCTGCCTATTTCTAACATTTGTAACCTCTCAATTCTAGTATCATCTCTGTAAATTTCTTTTGCACTTTCTCCAATACCTCAACATTCTTTTTAACACTATGCATAATGCATAGTAAACCAATTGTCATCTAGATATTTTCAAGTCAACCTCTTCAGGTTTATTGTGACACATCTCTGCAGGAGACAATATGAACCTGGGCTCTACCAGGGTGCACTACCACAAGAAGCCCTGCTGACTCCATATACATCTGTATTTCCATTTCCAATTGTAGCCTAAGCTTTTATAAAGTTTACATTATTCCTTGTTTTTAAGTTCTAGCCCTCCAGCAATGAAACCAGTGATTGGTTTGCTTTTTAGCGGTCTAATTATTTGCATTGGTACTTTTGGTGATTTATGTACCCACAACTCAAGATTTCTTTGCTCCTCTACCCATTTAGAATCTTACTAACCAGCAGTAGATGGCAGCTTTGACTTTCCTACTGAAATGATCCATCTCACCAATACCAAGAACATTCTATGATCTATGATCTTATCAAAATTCATTTGTCAATTAAGCACAATCTTGAGCACTGTTTTCTCACACTTATGTGTATTATTTCCAAACATTTTGAGCTTGTCTTGCCAAATCATTAACGTGAATCATTAAGAGCTGGATTCCTAGAAGCAACAGAACACCTTTTGCCAGTCAGTGTCGCTGAGCTTAACATTTACTTTCAGTTTCTGCTTTGTAGAAAACTTGCCATTAACTATGCCATGTTTTGCCTGATTCCAAATAGACATTTTAATCAATCTATTCAGACGTGTTATGACACATCTCTGCAGTATGTGGGAATTGAACCAGGCGTTCTTGCCCAGAGCAAGGGACACTACCTCTGTGCCACAAATATCATCCTGATTCCATGTATACTGACCCCAAGTAAAGTCTTTTATGTGGTAACTTATCAAAGGATCTTTTAGAATTCAAATATATTACATCCACTACACTATCTTTGTTTAATCTGTTAGTTCTTTGCTGAATTCTAAAAGGTTAGTTGAGCACGGGACTTCAGGTGAAATTCACCTTCACTGTATTTTCAGTTTCTAGTCTTTATAATTACATCGTCATCAATGATTCCTTAATTGTTTTGCTACCACTTATGTTTAATTAACTGGTCTAGAGTTTCCTGAACTCATTCTATGGCTGAAACTTTCCCCTCTATTAAGGTTGTCAGAAGGGAAAATAATTGGTCAAGTTTTCCCGGCGGTGGGGGGGCGTTGGTGTCTGGTGGTGGTGGTGGTGGTTGGGAGAGGGGGGATGAGTGGAGGAGGGTGAGAGAGACAGAGAGACTCAACTCCTTCTCACCACCAAACATGCCCATCCCAACCCATTTCAAAAAAGGTAAAATTTATCCCTATATTCCTTTCTATATAAAGGAATCACAGTAGCTGCCTTCTTTACCATTTTTTTCCTAATATATTGTTTACACAAGTAATGGCTCTGCCATCTCTTCACCAAATTCTTTTGTCACATAGAAGCAAACTATTCAGATAAAGGTTTATGCTCTCTCTGTTTTATTAGTTTATCAGTTATATTAGCCTTTCTATTTTATGTGTTTAATTGTTTTTGATCTCTTCGTTTCATCAGGTCTTAGTCAGAGCATTGTGCCTAAATCTGGACACAATAACTTTGGAAGAGTGGCAAGGCTTTGTAAGAGGATTCAGTGTAGATTAATTAGAATGGAAGCAAGAGTTCATTTGCATGAAGAGACTAAAGGAGCAGGGGTTATTTTCCACGAAGCAAACAAGGTAAAAGGCAGGTTTAATAGAGGGATTTCGATGTGGTAAGTTAGAGGGAAACTGATTCCACTGACAGAAATGTCAGTAAGTTCAGGTCAAAAAATTGAAGTTATTTGGCAAAGTATAGGGAAGTTTATTTTGAAACAGCAATCTGGAATGCACACATGAACAGGCAGCGGATGCAAATCTCTAATTTTCAAAAGGGAACTGACATACTTGAAAAGGTAAATTGCACCCTTGAACAGGACAGTCAGACTACTGAATAGCCCTTTCAAAGAGACACTTGGACATGATGAGTGAATGGCTTCATTTTGTGCTCTGTTAAATGGCATGTTTCTATATTAGGTTTGGAATGTAAGCACTTAAATTAGCACAAATGAATAAAGACTCCACAAGTATTTATGAAATGTAGACTAAGTTCTTTTTTTTTAAATTTGAAGAAATAAGTAGAAAAAATGGTAAACTATTCTACAACAACAAATATTGGACTGGATAATGAAATAATTCTACTTTATCGTTCAAATAAATCTTTCACAAGAAAAGATAGTTTGAATACCTGAATTTCCATTGAGATGAGAGGTAGATTTTTTCTAGAATTTCTGCAGTCTTAATAGATGTACGAATGAGCCAGTTGTTTGCAGTCAGAGCTATGAGTGATGGTACATGGTCTGATGGTTTGGGCAACATTTCTCCCTTTTTTTAAAAACAAATGAATTCTGAAAGTGATTTAAAATTTAACATTCATATAATATAACTTCATAGAAAGAAAAGAATCCTAACAGAAAACACTGCTATAGTAAAATTCATATCAAATCATGGAGTGGCAATGAGATGACATTTCTGGTCTATGGTGGGGTTTAGGGAATAAAAGAAATGACAAGGTTTTGGAGAAGTGGGCAAAGGAGGAAAAAACAAATCAGTTAATAGTACTGCTTTCAAATTATTACCCCATCTTCCTAGAATGTCTCCACCACTCAATACTCTGTTGCAGCCACACCACTTTGTGCTTTATTTGATAGAGTAAAAAAATTCAGTACAAATCCAAGATTTTTAAAAAAGCAGAAATGACGATGGGCATGAAGGCACTATCAAGACTGATAGCAAAATGTACAACTGCAAATTCAAGATAACAACATTGTGCCCCATAAAAGCTCCACAAATAATATCCATTCCATACTTGTTAAATTCTTGTCACCAATTCACTCTCTCCTGCCAAACATACTGACAGTTTGGTACTTGGCAGTGGTGATGCTGAAGGTAAAGGGCAGGCATTTGGGTTTTACATTGGTCACCATTGACCAAACACTGAACTGTGGCTATGAGAGCAGTTCAAAGTGGAGTAACTCACCTCATGTCACCTCAGTGTCTGTCAACCAAATACAAGGCAGAAATCAGGAGTGTGATGGAACACTCTCCAGTTGCCTGATGGGGGCAGCACCAACAACATTTAAGAAGCTCAACACCATCTAGGACAAAGCAAACCACTTCAGCAGCACCTTATTCACCACCTTCAACATTCACACCCCTTGCCCTTGACACACCACAGCTGCAGTGTGTACCATCTACAAGATGCACTGCAGTAACTCACCCAGACTCCTTCGGCAGCACTTTTCAAACCTATAATATTTACCAACTGGAAGGGCAAGGAAAACAGATGTAAGTGCATGCTACCACCTACAAGTTCTCCTCCAATCAACTTGGAACTATACTGCTATTTCTTCAGTGTCACTTGGTCAAAACCCTGGAATTCCTTTCGAAATAGCAGGCTGGAACACCCTTCCTGTGTACCTACACACCAAGGACTGCAACAGTTCAAGAAGGCAGCTCAGCACCATCTTCTTAAGGGCAATCAGGAATGGGAAATAAACACTGGCCTAGCCAGCAGCATCCATATCCCATGAACAAATAATAAAATAACTTATGTAATATAAGTATTACATGCCATCCATCAGCCAAAGTGTGTAATCAAAACATTACTGTAAACTGGTATGGATTTTGTATTAGCGGAGAAGTTGTGATAAATGGAATTGTAGGAAAATTAAGTCAAATAATTATTGTCACCTTATCCAACTAATCAATCATATTTTCTCCTTTGCAGTAAACTTTTAATTTATTCATAGTCGCAGAGTTCCATAAATGGCCAAATCATGAAACAAAAGAACTTGCTTCTAACATTTCCATTCGAAGTGTTGAAAACGTTTTCGTGATGAGCCATGTCAATGTGTCAGAACTACTAAATAATGAAGGCTAACAACAGAAAAGAAGCACATGAAAGTTACAGCACAGAAACAGGCCAGTCAGTGCATGTATTTGTGCTGGCTGAATTAACTTGCCACCCATTCTCATCCTACTTCCTCGCACCTGGTTCACAGCCTTGCAGGTTACAGCATTTCAGGTTCAGATGCATAAGTAAAAACAAATAAACGTGGAAGTGAAACCAAGGAATATTTAATGTATTAATCTCCACTTTCTATTTTCAATCTTAGAGGATTTGTTCACCCTTTAAAAATGAGTTAACATCTTCATGAAAATAAGTGGCACAGGAATCTCTGAAGTACACATTAAGCACCTGTATACTGCATTTCCATTGTGCAACGTCAAGGCATACATCGTTCTATGACCACTGCAAGGCTAATAAGTAGATATAATTAAACTTATTTCAATGCTGAAGCTTCCTTCTGAGATGCAATTTATAGTCTAAGAACCAAACAGCAAACTGCTACTAACCTCAAAGAATTAACTTATTTTCATTCCCGCACAATATAAGCTGGGCATGATCTCACTTAAGTGTGAAGATTTAGAGTTGGTTCTGGAGCAAAATGAAATTTGCAGTATTGTCTCAAAAACAATCAGTCCCTCTTTCCATTACCAATTTGAATGGGCTCAATGGCAATACTCATTCTCTTGCACATCATGCTGATCAAGCATCCACTGTACACCATAAAATGGCCCTTAATTTAAACAGCCCTATTCATTTTAAAACAATTTGTAAATTTCACATATTGTTACAACAATTTAATAATTTCCACAACATTTAATAGAAAAATGACAAGTGGTTACAGATATTTAAATAGCATAGGAGTTTAATTAAATTTTCGTTTGCCTACATATAGGGAACACATATTAGCACAGGTCAGAAGAAAAAGAACTTAAGTTCAATCATTTCAGTTCTGTGCCTTGCCACCGTTGCACCAGGATTCCCCGAATTTACCCTACAATCATGGCCTGGATTAGGTGCCAATGTACTGCAGTTACTTTAATGGGACCGAGATGGTGTCCTCATCATCCCACCCATTTCCCTGAAATGTTGCCTTTTTAACAGAGGAGTCCTAAAGAGAAGGTCAGTAAGAGAAGGCCAGAAACGAGATGAGCAAGGGATTAAGATAGTTTTTTTTTTGAAAAGTCATGGGCAATTTCTATCGCCAACAGCAACCAGAAGACCCCAATGTTAGCAGCAACATGACAACTGTGTCTTCTTATTGTCAAGGTGCATTGTTCAATCATAATTTGGATCTGGCCTGGCCTCTCAGGTCTTGAAGTATCCCTACAGAGAAAATCAAAGAAGCCTATCGCTCCTCAAAGGTACCTAAAAAGGGTACTCTACCTGTTAATGTCTAGGATGGTGTTACAGGTTTGTAGGAAGTCCAGCTAAATGAATACTATAGCCTTGATGAGAGAGTCTAATAACATATTACATGGAAAAAGGAAGAATTAGGAACTCACCAATGGAGACTCGCAAAGTAGGGCATCCTCAATTTTCTGAGACTTGTGAAGTTTCGGTAGTTCATATAGCACAGTTGGCTTAGGGCCAGTGCTGACACAAAAGAACAAAAATAAGGAAAACAGAGGTTTTTGTGGCTGCAGCATACACTTGATAGTTTTCTCATCAAATGGAAGCACCGAGACCAGCCTGATGAGACTGATGATAAATCACCCATCATCTCAAACAGAAACAGCATGCACACGGTCGCCCCACTATAGGGAGGATATTAAATTGGAGGGGGTTTGGAGAAGATTTACCAGGATGTTGCCAGGATTGGAGGGAGTGGCTGGATAGGCTGGGACTTCTTTCGCTGATGCGTAGGAAGGTTGAGGGGTGACATTATAGAGGTTTGTGAAATCATGGGGTGAATGGATAAGGTGAATAGCAAAGGTCTTTGCCCTTGGGTGGGGGAGTTCAAAACTAGGAGGCATGTTTTCAGGTGAGAGGAGATAGATTTAAACGGGAACTGAGAGGTAACTTTTTCCACACAGAAGTGGTTTGTATGCAGAATAAACTGCCAGAAGAACATTTAAAAGACGTTTGGACAGGTACACGAATAGGAAAGGTTTAGAGGGATATCAGCCAAATGCAGGCAAGTAGGACTAGTTTAGTTTGGGAAACTTGGTTGGTATGGACGAGTTGGACTGAACAGTCTATTTCTGTGCTATATGACTCTATGATTTTATACAAGTTTTCTAGTAGTTCCACAGTCAACATTCAAGCATCAGATCTATAAAAATGCCAAACACAAGCTACAGCTTTTAAGGGAAATACAGAATGATTGCTGGAACACAAAAGTTGATGGGGTGCAATGTCTACCTGAGAGGCATGATTTATGCCTTTACAATGTGCGGAAGACAGCATACAGACTACCCACCACAGCACTGCTGGTACTTTGACAGCTGATAAGGATGAACTAATTATTGATGGAAAGGTGTTGTGAGAACTTTGCTGAGTTCAACAGACTCAGGCTCTGCATTAAACTGAGCAAGTTTGTCTCTTCCTCCTTCCCCCTCTGGAATTCAGTTCTTTGTCTCATGTTTAGACCGATGCATTAATGAGGTGTGGAATTGAATGACCCTAACAAAACTCGAGGTCATAGTTAATACAATTATGTAAAGTGGTGTGGTGCATACCTTGTTATCATTTTCTGTTAATATTTGACTTACCTGCAAAAACAACTTCTGTAGTTGTCAAAGTAAATCCTTCCTTTTTCATAAACCACTGGTGAATTTGATTGTTTTGTCCAAACACACTCAAAAGTTGTAGACTTCTGAAATATAGCATATAAATAATGCTGGACCATTTTCTAAAGGTCTTTGTAAACTTTAATTAGGAAGTAGTGTTGGGTCACAATGCAAAATAATACAAGGGTATTCAAAGTTTAATACACAAATCAACTAATCAGTTCCAGCATTTACAATTATTTAAAAACAAAAATTGGCAATTATGTTAGAAATTGATTCCAAACATGTAAGATACCTTAAGATAAATGGTTTAATGCTACATTAAAAAAAGAATTCTCAGTACTGTACCTCATATTCATCATCTCTTATTCTCAAATCAGCAATGGAGTCTCCCAAACCAGTTAAAAGAAGTTGCTCCGCTTCCACTGACAAGATAATTTTTGGACACAGCTAAATTTTGAACTAAACACTTTAATAAAGCTATGCAAAGTTCATTCCAGTGGACAGATTTAGCCACATTACCCAGGACCTTTACCCGCATTAATCATTTACATTTTAATTTGTTTAAAACTTTTATTTTGAATATTATAATTTTCAGCTGGTGAGGGGAAAAAAGGCAGATGAAGTTTTCAAAGAGGTGTTAAATAATTCATCTCATTTCTTTTAGTACTATGTGTAAAAGATTATTCTGGATTAGTTTCCAAATTCTCACTAGTTCCTTGCTGGGGATTTTCTTATTGTTTTACTTGCTTTTGATCAGTACAATTACTTCTGTTTTAACTTATATCAAAATTACAATGTGGAAAGTGGACAAGACCAATAAGTTCTTCCATAAACAGTTCTAATCTCACTCAGCTGCCCTCTTCAGATGTTCCCTTATTCACATCAAATCACCAATCTAACCTAATTTTTCCTATTTAATCAGCAGCACATGTTGTGCACTTCAAAGCTTCACAACCCCCTATGTTTAGAGAAAAAGGTTTCTTCTACTTCTTAAATTATGTATGCAATTTTATGTCTATAGTTCAAGTTTAAGCACTCCCAATCACTAGAAACACAGCATATCTTTTACTGTCCAGCTGATTCATAAACAGCTGTAATGACCTCCTCTATTCTTCATAGTGTATTGGTATTTCCTTATTGCTGTCAAAGTGTGGTAATATAAAGATGTTTAAGTATGAAAAAGAAAGTGAACACAAAATGAAAAATCCTGAGTAAACATTCTGTACAATATTAATAAATACAACAACAAAAACAAAGTTGCTGGAAAAGTTCAGCAGGTCTGGCAGCATCTGTGAAGGAGAAAACAGAGTTAACGTTTCAGGTCCAGTGACCCTTCCTCAGAACTGAGAACCCGAAACGTTAACTCTGTTTTCTCCTTCACAGATGCTGCCAGACCTGCTGAGCTTTTCCAGCGACTTTGTTTTTGTTCCTGATTTACAGCATCCGCAGTTCTTTTGGTTTTTATTAATAACTACAACTCACCTGACATACTAACTGACGGAGGATAGTCAAGTTTTTTCTGAGCACAGAACCATCTTCATTTCCATACAAACCAAGAGCTCTTGCAGACAAAATGCAACAATTATTTTTTTTCCTTAAACATGAAATGCTGGTAGACTTCTTTGTAACGTGCACTCTTATAGATTGTTTGATGACTAGATTATCCATGATGGCTGCCAAATGTCCTTTTAACGGATCTCAAGATTATGTTTTGTGTATCAGCATTTCTGACACAGTGAAGTGGAAATCCAGTTCTCCCCTGTTGACTTGGTCTGTGAAAGATATTTAATAAGGCAAAAGTCTGAATATTTTTGAAACATGTTGAAAATTCTTTTCACATTTAGTTGGCAACTACATATTATGATGATCATTTCCAACAAAGACGTTGCTTTAGCTGACATTTTTCATTAAATATCATGCATGAAAAAAATTCAGTGGGGTAATGAGGTCAGACACTAATACCAGATTCTAATATAATTACAACACTACAGCAATCATTATGAGAATGCATGTTAACTACAAGAAAACAAGCTGGAAAAACCATAAGAATACAGGCAACTCTAGCAATACCATTTAAGGTGAACAGCTCTATACCACAAATTAATACAAACCACTCTTAATGTATAAAGTATGTTAGCTATTTTGGGAAGAGTCGTTTGTTCCATCAGCTGTTTGCACCTTGCTAAAGTGAGAACAAAATGGATCCTAAAGTAGTCAAGTTACAGATGGCATTGATCAGCATCAATTGCAGCCACAAAAATAGCTCGAAAAAAGAAAGGCATGAGCCTCAGCGTGAAAACGGACCTCCTAAATGGGTGAGTTACTGTGATAGAACATAGAACAGGCCATACAGCCCACCATGCCTGTACCGACCATGATGCCATTCTCAACTAATCCATCTGCTGCACACGATCTGTATCCCTCTATTCCCTGCCTGTTCATGTGTCTGTATAAATGTATCTTAAACTTGTTAATGTATCTGCGTCTGCCACCTCCCCAGCAGCATGTTTTAGGTAGCTACCACCCGATGTCCTGCAGCACCTCAGTCTTCCAAAATCTACTGTTGTCACCTTCTATGAACAATTGAAAAACTGCCATGAAATGACAACAAAGGTACAATCAAGGCAGAAAAAGGAAACATGAGGTTTCTTATGGATTGGTCAAGACTGGGTTCTGAATCCAGTGGCCCAGTCAGTGGGTTCTCTAGCCCAACAGATCAAATTCTATCCTTTGATAAGTTTTTACCCAAATATTGCTATTGTTTCTTTTGCCAATCACTTCAACTTGGCAGCTTCAGCATCTTGACTGTTCTGTCAATAGGAACTATTTCCTGACCTGCTCTGACCAACTCTCATGATTTGAGCATATCTCCTCTCAGCTTTCGTCTAAGAAGAACCATCTCAGCTCCTCTACTCTATCCACACAACTGAAGTCCTTCATTCCTGGAACCATTCTAATATCCTGCACACTCTCTAAAACCTTCATTATCTCCCTAAAGCGTGCTGTTCAGATATACACACAATATTCCAGTTGAGAATAAACCAGAGTTTCATAAAGGTTCATCATGACCACCTTGTATTGTACTATATGCCTCCATTTTAAAATCCCAGGAATTTGTATGCATTTTTCACTATTTTCTCAAAATGTCCTGCTACCTTAAAGAACTTGTGCACACACAGCTCCGGATTTTTGGTTCTGCACCAGGTTCAGAATTATACATTTTGGTTTATATTGTCTCACCTTATTTTTCCTATTCAAATGTATCACTTCATTCTTTTCTACATTTTTTCAAAAAATCATGGAATCCCTACATTGCAGATGGAGGCCATTTGGCCCATTTGTTTGGTAAGCACAGACACTGAAGAGCATTCCACCCAGCCTTCCCCCATCTCTGTAACCCCACATTTACCCTGGCTAATCCATTTAACCTGCACATCTTTGTACTGTGGGAGGAAATCACAGCATCCCAGTGGAAAGCCATGCAGACACAGGGAGAATCTACAAACTCCACACAGTAACTAATATAGCCAATGATATAACAGTCCATTCCACTATCCTCATCTCAGTTTACTTCCAAATTATGTTATCTGCAAACTATACTTTTTACACGTCTTGCATGCATATGGAAGTTTTTTGAATTACCTATATTGGCTGCCAATGCCTTTAAATGCTGTCTCCTTGCCTCTGTTATTTCCTTTCTCTCATTGAACTTCCTGTCTTCAGCCTGGCTCTCATACGAGAGACTCGACATCTGTCATTTACATCTCTTTTTGGCATTCAGGATTTGTCCTACCTCTTGTGGGGAGGTACCAGGTCTGTAGCCGAACCATTTCCGCCATAAAGACAGTCTTTATTTACAACTACAGTTTTTTTATGCTTACTTGAAACAGCAGTTATTGCTGATCCCTAAATTGTGCAGAGGTCAGAATATATGCGAGCCAGATCAGGTAAGAATGATAGAAAGGGCATTTGTGCGGGATGTGAATCTTCTTTCTCTGAACATTAGACTGGGAGTCTGGATTACAAACATTACTACTCTGCAACCCCTTCCTACTGATCGTCGATTCCACGGTGTCAAAACCTCTTGGATAACCAACTTCCGTGGGGTAAAAAAAATAACAGAGATAGTAGGAACTGCCGATGCTGGAGAATCTGAGATAACAAGGTGTAGAGCTGGATGAACACAGCAGGCCAAGCAGCATCAGAGGAGCAGGAAGGCTGACGTTTCGGGTCGAGACCCTTCAAGCGGAAAAATAACAGGCAGTTTGGGAGGGGAGGTCAGTTGTTGCAGTTCTCCACATGCGCAAGTTTGAAAGGTGTAAAATAATAACACAATGTATCTAGGCCACCATCAAGTAGGACAAACGCCAGGACTGAGATACAAGACTATGCCAAAAAAGCCTGCACTCAGCTGGACTCATCTCGTTAAAACTGACGCTCGCACAACCAACTTTTTATTCTGAAATGCTATTTGTCCTTTTTCACAGCCAATCCGATGACTCTATACCCACTGTCCTCTTATCGAAAGAGTCCTAATTCTGATAAAGTGTTTACAATTAAAAATACTTTTGGACTCATACCCAGTACCTGGGTAGGAAAGGCTTCTATCTCCAAGCCGGATGCTGAGAGCGAGCAGGAAGTACCCACGCGCCTGATTGACAGCCGTGGGACGCGCCGGTGCCGCGGGGCCTGCCGGGTATTGTAGTCACGGTCCGCCATTCTAGGCCTACATTACCCAGAAGGCACATCACCACACCACACACGCCGTGACCTTCAGCGGAAGTACTTCCGGCGTCGCTGTGTCCGCCGAAAGGCAAGTGCTCGTGGAGATGGAGATGTAGAGATTGTTGCTTTTCGGAGCTGATCAGTGGTGGGTGGTTCTGATTCCAGAGTTGTGTGTCTTTTCCGTCACATCAGGGTAGGGAAGGGCTGCAATATTGTCTCGGTTTTTCATGTCACTCGGAGATTGTTCTGTGCGCCATGTCCCAAAGAGCAGTTATATGTACGGTAATTCACTGCTGTATGCTAATAAAAGGAAAAGACAACTGTCTTTGCTGCTGCTTGCTGGATGTTGTCTTTGGGTGTTTCAACGGGGGAGAGGGGTGGGTTCCCCTATATTGGATCAGTGTTTGACAGGGGATATCCACACGATCTCATCAGCTCGACACTCTTTCGCATTTATCAGATGCTCTAATGCAGACATTCAAACCCCTATGATTTAGCTTTCAAATCTCTTTGGTGAGAATATTATAATCTGTGATCTAGCCTCCTAATTTTTGAACGTTAAAAGTTTTACTTTTTTTTAAAAAAAGAGCTTTTTCAAAAATCCATCTTTATGCTTGGGCTTCATTGGAAATGTCAACCTTTATTAACTCCCCTAATTCCCTTCAAGATTGTGCAGGTAGTCCTTTTCTTGAATCACTGCATTCCATTGCAATGCAAATTACAACCCTAACAACGTTCAAGGAACAGCTTTTTTTTTAAATTAAAAAATGTATTCACTGTCATCTGAGACAAATCAGAGACAGTGATACTTCATCCTAAGCATTTACCAATACATCTTGGCACTTTGTGCTGTCAACAAGATGCACTAAAGCAACTTTCCACAAGTATTTTGGCAATATATTCCAGTCACATGCCCTCCATCACACAAAATATAATGTACATAGGCGAATAGGAAAACTAATTTTAGGTTCTTGATCAAGTCATAAATTATCCATACTTGAGCATGTGTTGCTGTTCCTTTGAATGTTGTTGGGGTTGTAATTTGCACTGCAATGGAATGCAGTGATTCGAGAAAAGGACTACCTGCACAATCTTGAGGGGAATCAGGGGAGTTAATAAAGGTTGACATTTCCAATGAAGCCCAAGCATAAAAATGGATTTTTGAAAAAAGCTTTCTTTCCTCCCCAACTTCTAACTATGACCATTCCAATTTGTCAGGCTAATGTCTCATCTCACCTATCTGTCTGTAGCTGAATGTTTCCTTTCTACTCATTCCTATGCCTGCCTCATCTTTCATGTGGTCTATTGATGTGACTACCAAGTTTGTAATTCTTTTTATACAAACCATGAAATCTAAATGCTTTCTTTCCTCATCTCAGAGATGTACAGCATGGAAACAGACTCTTCAGTCCAACTCAGCCATGCCAGCCAGATATCCAAGATAAATCTAGTCCTATTTGGTCCATTTCCCTCAAACCATTCCTATTCATATAGCCATCCAGATGCCTTTTAAATGTTGTAATTGTGCCCACCTTCACTACTTCCTCTGGCAGCTCATTCCGTACACACACTACCCTCTGTGTGAAAAATTTGTCCATTTTGTCCCTTTTAAATCTTTTCCCTCTCACCTTAAACCTATGCTCTCTAGTTTTTGACTCCCCCACCCAGGGGAAAAGACATTGTCTATTTACCCTATCCATGCCCCTCATGATTTTATAAACCTCTATAAAGTCATCCCTCAGCCTCCAGTGGTCCAGGGAAAATAGCCCCAGCCTATTCAGCCTCTCTGTATAGATCAAACCCTCCAACCCTGGCAACAACCTTGTAAATCTTTTCTGAGCCCTTTCAAATTTCACAACGTCCTTCCGATAGCAGGGAGACAAGAACTGCGCACAGTGTTCCAAAAGTAGCCTAACCAATGTCTTGTACAGCCTCAACGTAAGCTCCCAACTCCTATACCCAATGCACTGACCAATAAAGGCAAGCATACCAAACGCCTTCTTCACTATCCTATCTACCTGCGACTCCACATCTGATGGATATTTCACCCATATCCAAAACAATACAGCCATTCTCCAGATATTTGAGCATAAAATCTTGGCTAGCACGCCAATCAGGCACCACAGAGTGAGTGCCTCAGAGGTGGCTCATTTCTGATGCATTAAGCCTGGGTTCTATCTGCCGTTTTAGATTAACATACAGAATACCATGCATTGTTTCAAAGAGGGTGGTGTAGATTTCGCTCTTCCTGGCCAATCTCTTATTTCTCAATCAACGTAACTAAAACAGATTATCTGGTCATTAGTTAATTACTGTTTATAGTACCTTCTAAGCAAGTTAGCACCTGTGTTTTCCTACATTATGAGAGTGACTGCATTTCAGAATTATTCTTTGTAAAGTACTTTGGGACAATCTGTGGTCAAGAGAACATCAAATGCTAGAAAGAGCTTGTATTTTTTCAAGGATTGCGGAAGAGGCTGTTTATCCCTTTACTATAGAATTCCCAAAGCCACAACCTGTCTTTTTTTTTTCAGTTATTTTTCCTGTGCTTTACAACTTATTTTATAGTACCATCATGTTCAATTCTATTGTCCTTATTATACCTTCTTTGTCCACCACATATGCATTAAGCTTTGCATATATATTAGATAAATCTAGAAAACGTCCCTCCTTAAATATTCACCTGTTCCTCAATGACGCTCTTCCTATCAATCTGTGGGAGGCCTGCCTTCTGGAACATATAAATTGCTACAGCTATGCTGAAATGGGATAGTTGCGTGCAGATTTAGCAGCTAAAAACTGAGCAGCAATGAGGCACTGTGGACCAACAACAGCATTATTATGTTCCACTATAGCCTGGATCTCATGGTCCACAGATCCCTCATATTATAATTACCATTAAGGTATCAATCCTGATTCGATGAAAAGTGTAAGAAAGCAGGCCAGGCATAGCACCAGTCATGATTAATGATGAGATGCCAAACTGGTGAAGCTATAACACAGGAGTATTTGGATGTTAAACAGTGGAACCAACGTGCTCTAGACAGCTAAGCAATCCAACAAAAAAAAAATCAGAATCTATGTCAGGTCTGCACAATTTTCCCACTTGAATGACACTCATTTGTTGTTCTATGAACATCCCATCCTCAGTGGTATAGGGAATCCAGTACATGATTGCAAAAGACAAGGTTGAACCTTTGTAACCATGTTCAGCCAGAAGTGTCCAGTAGATGATCCAGCGTGGCCTCCTCTTGAGGTCCCCAACATTACAGACATGTCACTCTATGTGACATCAAAAAATTGCTGACTTCACCGGGACAGCAAAATTAATGGGCCCTGACAACATCCTGGTTGAAAACTTGTCCTCCAGAACTAGCCGCACATCTAAATTAGCTATTTCTCTACAATTTCTAAAACTGAAATTTACTTGACAATGTGGAAAATTGCCTAATTACATTCTGTCCATGAAATGCAGGACAGATCCAGTCCAGCTAATTCCTACATCATTAGTCTTCTCTCAATCATCAGCAAAGTGATGGAAGCTGTCAACAATGGTATTATTAAGTGGCGTTTACTAAGCAATAATTGTCGGCCGTTGGTGTATTCAACAGCAACACTATTATGGAATCCCCAAGATCAAGACTCTAGAGTGAGTATTGAACAAGAAAGCTAACTGGACTAGCTATAAAAATAAGTTGACTATGAGGGAAGATCAGAGATCAAATCATCTGTGTTGAATAACTCACCTCCTTGCACAACAAAGGCTGTCCATCATTAAAAGGTGCAAGCTGTGATGAAATATATCCCATTTGCTTGGATGAGTGAAGATTCAACAAAACTCAGGAAGCCTGACACAGTTAAGGATAAAGCAGTCCACTTGATCAGCGCATCAGCCAAGTAAATTTTACCCCTTCACCACTGCCACAAAATGGCTGCAGTGTGTACCATTTACAAGATGCATTGCAGCAACTCACCAAGGCTTCTTCAACAGCACCGTCCAAACTCAAAACTGCTACCACAGAGAAGGACAACAACAGCAGCACACGTGGAAACATTGCCATCTGAAAGTTACTTTCCAAGTCACACACCACCTTTATCTGGAAATGTATTTCTTCATGGCCATGGGTTCAAATCTTTGAATTCCCTCGTACTGTAGGTACAGTACCGTAGGTTTATCTACTGTTGCGCTAGCCACACAATATGTTTAGCTCGTACATCCCACAAAGAACTGTGAGTCGACTCTTAATAGTTATAGGAAATTATCTTTTATTGATTATAACACAATTAATATTATAATAACTATTATGTTAGTTTACTACAAACTAACCATTAACCATGTAAATCTGACAATTAACGCTGTAAATCTAAGTCAGTATCTTATCTTTATGTTAGAGAACACTAGAGAAAAAAAAAATTAGGCCTATATGATTTAACTAAGCTGGGAATTATATACATGCTTAACAAAGTAGAGAGAAAGCAGTAAACTGAGTGCAGCAGCTGGGTCTTGGGATTTCACCACTATTGCCAGTTCACTCATTCATTCATTCAATTTCACGGAAACACTATTTGATGGTAGTAAAATGTCAAGACCGCGGTTTGATGAATGGAATGCGGTAATAGTAAACATAATGCATTGTTATGAATGAACCAGAATGTGATATTAGTCATAAATAAAGAACACATGTGAATGAGTAGTTAGTAAAGGTTATGAATGAACAGGAACATAGTAGTAGTAGTAAATATAGAGCACTTGTGAATGGGTTGGTAAAAAGGACTTTTATGATAGAAAGGTAAAGAAGCCCCTAGTACAATGTCTCACAAAACCATGTGTACAGCGATTT